GGGGGGGGGCCTATAATGAGTAAAATTAGTAAATTAGTAATAGGCGTATTTCTTCCAAAGATACTAAAATATTACTTGGCCTACTCGTTCCAAGCTTACTGCTTTTTGAATTATTCACTAATAACCTTTGCAGCCTCTCTAAATTTCCAATAAATTTCGTTTACACCCTTATCACTTTATCTATCTCTCAACAGCATTACCTTACAAACTTTCCTTCATCTCTACTAATATTCCCTTATCAGTACATGAATATCGCTGTAGATCAAATGCAAAAACAATCAAGAGCTAATTTTTAAAATTTTTTGGATTATAAATAAGAACAGAAATAAATAAGAAATATGCCTATTGAAAAATGATCTACATATTTTGTAACTTTCCATACAAAAAGAAAAATATGAAAAAGGTATAGATTCTGGAAGAATCACTTACGGCACAAATTTAACACCTTGCTCTAACATAATTTTACGAATCTTTTCAGCTAAATCTTGATCGAAACCGCGCAATAATATTGATCGAACCATTACCTAATAATTAAATAAAAAAATAAAATATATTTTCTTATTCATTAAAAAAATTTCAAATATGGAAAATTAAATAGTGATTTGAATAGCAAATTAAGCCTTAAGATGTTATAATAATTAATGTTCGTAAAAATCAAGTGTATTAATACCGTAACATCATTGCCAAGTCCATTAAGAAATCCCGCACATTCCAGTGAAATATATGAGGCACCTACACACAAAGTTTTACCTGGATTATACGGCAGTGAAAATAAATCATCACTGAAATCATAAAAAATACAAAAATAAACTGAAAAATAAAGAAGTAAAAAATTAAAATATTTCTCAAATTATAAAGCAAATATGAAAAAAATTTTTACTATATAGTAAAATAAAAAAATAAATCAAAAGCAATAAGCCTGTTGAAGTCGGTACCTACTGATACAGCATTCTTTTGCACCAGGCACATCTGGAAAGCGAGGCCTCAAACCGGTGGCGATCAAGAAACGATCAGCAGTGATCTTTTCGATTTTTCCTTTTTTGTTCACAGCGGAAATTTCATGAAAACCAGTGAACGATGCATACGCATTTACATAAGTGACCTATGAAAATAAGAAAAAATGAATTTCTGAAAAAAAAATCGTCCAATTATTCTCATTATGATAAACTCTACTTTTCAGCAAACCATATCGAATATACCAGCTGAATATAGATTTCAGAAATCGAAAATACATTGAAAAGCATACCGATCGTTCTCTAAGCTGAACTCGATAACCCCAATTTAGAGAAGCAATATGATCTTGAACGCCTTTTATTAATTCTTGCCAGTTGAAAGTAATTCGTCCTTCAGGTATAGTCCACCCGAATTTTTTTGCATCTTCTGAAATAACCATAAGCCTAAGAAAAAAATCTTTATCACATAAATATATATATATATATATACATAGCTTACGAAAAAAGACTTATAGACTCACTTATAGACTCGCCAAGCAAAGCAGCTTGATGCATCAGTTTTTTAGGGATACATCCAACATTTACACAAGTTCCGCCAAGTCCCCATGTTGTTCCCATCGTTGAAGGTTTCACAAAATCAAGACAAACGACTTTTTTATTCAACCGCGCTGCTTCCTGTAACACATATATCATGCGCTTTCAGAAATATCGAAGGATAAATTTCGATTTGGAGAATTTACGATAGATAATATAAACAAAACTATTAGAGAATATTTTTTCTTATCCTTATTGTCCTTCAAAAAAAATATCTTTCCAAAAAGACGAAATTGAAAAATGATTATACAAATTAAAAAATCAAAAAAGAAAAAATACCTACCTTAGCTGCAGCTAATCCACCAGAACCACCACCAATAACAGCAAGATCATAATCATGCTTTGCCAACCAACTATCGAGAACTCCTTTTTGGTCCAGTGCCAGCAATTCAGCCAAACCGCCAACACAATCGCCCTAAAATTGATAAGAAAATGATATGGATAGACATTCAATTGAGGAGTTTCTCAGTAGTCACTTTTTTTTTGCCAGCTCCATGACTAAAGTTTTGAAAAATGCTAAATAGATAAAAATATATGTAATGAAAATATAAATGCAATAATTAAAACTAAGACCAACTTTAATAAAAATCAAAGGCATATTGTTGTGCTTCACAATATTCAACATTATTTTAGCATCCTTTTGACTTATATTCAATGAAAAACTTTTCAGTTGTCGTTTTGAAAAATGTCGAAGTATCTGAAAATTGAACATCCCCACAAAATTTATAAAAAATACCGCTAATAAATTCGTAAAAAAAAGATAATTAAAAATAGCAAAAAAATAAATAATAAATAAATAAAATAAATAAAGAAAGAAAGGAAGAATAAAAAATAAAAATAATAAATACAATATAAAAAATATAAAATATAAAGTAAAAAACAAATGCAAGATAAAATGCAAAAAATATAAATAGTATAAAATAATAATATTAATAGTGTAAAATACATAAAATATATATAATACTTATTAAATAATAATAAAAATTATCGTTAAAAAACTTGCAAAATTAGCCTAGGAAAAATTTATGAAATGAATAAAAGAGAAAAATAATCCTCTCATTATACGAAAAAAATATACCACAATAAAGCGAATAAACCCAAGAGATTTCAGCGACTTCTTTTGACTAAACGACTTGGCCTTATGTTAGTAGAATAGAAGTATTTAGCCAAGCCAGAAAATTTATACTTTTAGGCGGATGAAAAAATAAGAAAATAAAATTTACTTGTTCCAATTCGTTATTTTTGTCTTTATAAATTATAACAATTTGTTGTTCAGTTGCGAGTTTAAATGCATCGAATGCCGTTGCAGTATATTTACTCGCTGTTCTTCCCCTTGGTCGTACCATCGTTTTTTCAGCCTTATTCACCCAAGCGTCTTCTCCTTAAAGAAGCAAACTCATATATTAATAAAATTAGGAACGGTCAATTACAAATGCAGAAGTTGAAATTATATTGAAAGTTCATAATAATAGAATTATTATTCATTTTCTCAATTACTATCTTCTATTGTTGCTTACTATCAGAAATTATCACTTACTATCAATACTGATAAAAATCCCTAAAAATGATTTTTAAATCGTTTAATTGTATTTTAAAAAATTGCAAATAAATAGAAAAAACATAATCATAACTTATTCAACCAATTGGCCAAAACAAATAAGAACTCAAAAAAAGCCTAGCCTAAAAAAACTAAAGCAAAAAAAAAATCCAAAAAAACACATTAATCAACTGAAGCTGACTTTTAGTATGATAAAATCTTTGATGCCTACGAAGATAAGAACATAATTTTATGCATGCATTTTTTTGAAGTTTGTTAGTTAATCATGCATGATCAAATCTAATAATATGAGAACAACAAATTATAAGTGATAAGCGTGTTATGAAGCAATCCTTTTAAATAAGCAATCCTTAGGCTTAGTTGATAACGAGGAAAAAAAAGAAAAAAATTAAAGAATTTTTTTTTCTGCTTAAATATTCATATTGTCAAAACCTTCGCTCTACTTAGTTGTTTTCAAACAAAATATATCCAATAATAATAAATCGCTCTATCAATTTAATTTAATTATTCAGCTATTAAATAGAAATTATCAATTATGATAGCGATTATCATAGAGAGAGCCAATTGCGATTATTTATCAGTCATGTCGAATTATTACTGCCTTTGATTCAATTGATAGAGCACCACTTCGGAGGGTGATGAAACATGACGGTGTTCTAGAGAAAATCATTAGACTCATAAAGGCATTTTATGAGCATACGTCGGCGCAGGTCTGTGTATATGGGGAGTCGACAGATTCCTTCGAAATAAGAACAGCTGTCCGTCAGGGCTGCGTTTTTTCCCTCACAATATTCAACTATGCAATGGACTGGATAATGGACACTGCTTGTCGACACTCAAGAGGTGTCCGAATTAGTCCAGAGTATTGAATCATAGACCTTGAAAACGCTAATGATATAGATCTTTTTGCTGACAGTTATAACGAAATGCAAGTAATACTAAATAACGTGTCAGAAATTGCAGCAAGAATCGGACTCAGGATCAATGTAAATAAAACGAAAGTCTTTTCGGCTAATGTGCAAGAAGCTGATAAAAAGCCTCTTTTTGTAAATTCAATGCCGATTGAGAAAGTGCCTGATTTCAAATACCTTGGGTCCACTCTAATACCAAATGGACAGGCAAAAGATGATATTATAACTCGGATCACGGCAGCTAGAAATGCGTTCTTCCGGTTGACGAAACCTTTACAGAGCCATCGTGAAATTACCATTAAAACGAAAGTTCGCATCTATATTGCCGTGATCCATTCGATCTTATTATATGGTTCTAAGACATGGCCAATGAGAGTGGAGGATATTAAGTTATCTGACTATCTGTTATCTGACCACTTTTGTCTAAGGTATATTTTACGGGTTCGCCGAGTGGATAAAATCTCACAATATCGCATCCACCTTCGTTTAAATACCACTTGCATAAATAATGTTATCACAGAGCGCCGGCTTCGCTGGTTAGGGCACATTCTCCGTCGTCCATCACAGGAGTTGACACATATTTCGTTATTTGCTAAATCGTGTGACGGTTGGCGTCAAAAGCGAGGTGGTCCAATGAAGATCTCGACTGACACGGTGAGAAAAGATTTTGAGCGTATAGGTGGACCAGCAATATATGGATTTAGACGATGGAAAAAGGAATGCCTTCCATTACTGTCGACGATGGCATCAGACCGCGCCGCTTGGAAGCGTCTTACCCTTGTAGCCGTTGGAGCCAGCCTAACCAGTAATGGTGAGAACTGTTAGAAGAAGAAGAAGAATTATCACTACTATTTGATAGGTTACACATTACACAAAAAAAAAGATTCTAAATAAATCCTTATTGAATACATCTCAAAATGATTATATACTATAATAGTGGAAAAATAAAAAAAAAAAACTAAAAATTTATGGAAGAATAAAAATAAAAATTAATCCGTGAACCTGAATTCTGCTGAACGCCATTTCTCGATAATGTCGTTGAAGCAGTTGAATTTCGATGACATTTTAGCGTTCGAAAAAAACGTAGCAGGCCAGCCAGTTTTCCTTTCTTTTTTCTTCTCTTTTTATTTCTTAAAATTTCTAAAAAAAATGAATTTTTTTTTTTGAAAAAAAATATGAATCGTTGTTGAGTGAAATCGTAAATTTCGGAATTAAAAATTATAAATTGAAATGTACTCCTTTTTTTTTAAAAGAAAAATCCAATTACGCGGAGTACCACAATCCCGTAGATTTCACGAAGGTAATTATTAAAATAGAAATAAAAATGTGAGAGAAAAAATATGAAAGAAGAAACGATAATCGAGATCAACGATTAGTTGTACTTTTGAAAATAAAAAGAAATTCTTAAAAAATTACGAAATCATAAAGAAATTCTTAATAATTATTATTAAAATAAATTAATGAAAGTTGAAATTAATTGAAATTCATTCATATATATGAGTGAATAAAAAAAATGATAATAAAATTGAAATAAAAAAAAAGGATGGCCGAAGCATTGAAGAAGATATCATATCAATATCATATCATATCATATCACTTGTCGAGTATAGAAAATAAATTCTTTCGTAAAAAAAATTTTTTTCATTTTTTTATAAAAAATTTTATTATATTTTAGCTAAAAAAAATGTTAAATGTTCAAAGAAAAAGAATCTAAAATATATAAAATGAAAAAAATTCGACTTTAAAAAAATACTATAAGAATCGAATTTTTACATAAAAAAATAAAATAAATTTTATACGATTCACATTCACATTAAAATCTTTTTTTTTGCCATTAAAAAAACTGGAATATATTAGCGGTGATAAATTTGATTAATTCGATAATCGACTGGACAGTGATGATAACGATATGAAAAATAAAAGATTAGGTTTACCGAGTAGATAAAATTGCATATGATTGCAATCACCTCCCATCAAATACCACTTATATTAAGAGTACCATCATAGATGGTCGCTTTCGCTGATTCGGGCATTTCATCGTCGCCCACCACAAGAGTTGACAAATGTTTCGTTACTTACTAAACGCTGTGGTGGGTGCCGTCATAAAAGCGAGTGGACCAATCAATATTTAGAAAATTTGATAAAGTTAAAAAATTTGAACATATAGATGGATCAGCAATATATGGATTAGACGATGGAAAGAAGAGTTTCTATTATTGTCAACGATAGCATCAGATTGCGCAATTCGAAAACATCTTGCACTCGTAGCCAGTGGAGCCAGCCTAACCGGTAATGGTGAGAATTTTTAGAAGAAGAAGATTATGTCAGGAAATTTTTATTTTTGCAAATTTTTTTTATTTTGATAATATAAAGATAATTAATATTATATAAAGATATAAGATATAAATCATAAATGAATGAAATTTTTGTCTCCCTTTTTTGAGCCATAATGTTCACCATTGGTGTTTAGGCTTATTCCATTGGCTTATTAAACAGACAAAATCCTGCTAGGGATTCAAAAGAAGTACCACTGTATCGCCAACATTAGTCGACAGATGATTGAATAAAAATATATCAAATTTTCAGCTGATCAAATATAAATAAACATATTTTAAATATAAAACATAGGCTCATTTTTCCTTATATATGCCTAGTTAACAATGAATAATAATTAAATGATAATAATTAGTAATAATAAATAATGATATTGATAATAGCAATAACAATAATAATTAATAATAAAGAATAGCAAATAGCAAATAATAATAACAATAATAATAATAATTGTTTATTATTTATAATAATAATTTATAATAATAATAATAATTTAATATTTTGTTATTCTCGCTCTGCACTGTTTTTCTTGTTGTAACTTTTTATCCAAGCACATGGCTATACTCCAGTTTGATTCTTATTTATAAATAAATAGTGATAATAATAATAATATCAATAATAATAATAATTACAATAATTAATAAATAATAATTGATAATAATAACAGTAATTAATAATAAATGATAATGATAATAAATAATAGAAATAATTAATAATAAAGTAAAAATAACAAAAATACAATAATAATTAATAATTAATTAGTAATTAATAATAAATAATGGCAATTAATAATAATAGTAATAAATAGTAAAAATGGTACTCAATGGTACATATAAACTTTTATTATTCCGCCATTTTTAAGCAAAACAAGTTAACAATGTTTCGTTAGTTCAGCTTAAAGAAATTCGTAAAAAAATCTTTCCAAATTAATTCTCATTTTTAAAATTTAAAAATTTTTCTAATTCATTATTAATGATTATTATTATTATTGTTATTATTAATTAGAATTTAAACAGAAAAAAGAGATTTAAAAAAGATTAATTGTATATCAACCGAATGATTATTGTTGAATGAAACTGCTCGCCGAAGAGAGAGCGCTGAACGCTTCCTCTTTTTTTTGAGTCCTCACCATTACCGGTTAAACTCGCTCCACTGGCTTGTCGCAATAGGGCAATATGCCAGGGAGTCCTTTGGCGATAGAAATACGGGTGAGTCGCCAGCATCAGATTTTTGTACAGGTTTACTCCTGCGGGGAGTCAAACATCAGCATCGGCGCTCCCAATCGAGCAACAACCAACTGAGCCATTTTGTCCACCTTCAATTCCTCAGGAATTAACCTATAATTAAGCTAAAATTCTTGGTTTACATACGATTCACATGAATTTCTCTCGCTAAATCACTGATTATTAATGAATAAAAGCTAAAATTCTAATTAATTAATTAAAATTGCGAAAAAAAAAGAAATTATTCTTAAAAATTTAAAAAATTTTAGAAAAATAAAATTTGTCGAATGAAAATTTCGAAATAAACTACAACAATTAGCAAATTAATAAATAAATTCATAAAAAGATGAAAAATAAATGAAAATTTCTTACGAAATAAGATATTTCCCAACCGGTTTTTTCTCAATCAAACATCGTTCTTTTTTTTTTTTATAAAATTTTAAGAAAATTTTCAAATGAAAAAAAATAAACAAAAAAAAGGGAGAAAAGGATTAGTTTTTTTTCTAAGATGAATTTACGAATGAATTTCGAAATTAAAACAATTTTTTAAATAATTTTTTTAATTAAAATAGATTTGAAAAGAAAAAAAGGAAATATAATTTAAAAAGATTTTCCAATTATTTATTATTAATTTAAAATGATAATAAAAATAAAACTAAAAATTATGGCAAAAACGATTCAGTTAAATTTCAAATTTCTTATTATTCTCTTTCAACAATAATAAAATCAATAATAATAAAAAATATTTATTTTAATTTTCGATTTACTGATTTGCTTAAATAATAAGGATTGGCTTAGACGACCTTTTCGTTAAACAATTAATTAATTAATTGAACGAGAGTCGCTTAGAATAACCTTTCGACTGGAACGAGAACGAGTCAATCAAGAACTTTTGCGTTTTCCATGAATTAATCGAGCAACGCTAAAGGCGAATATTTTATTTTTTTTGAAAAAACAACTAAGCAATACTTTAAAATGCCTAAATTATACTAAATAAAATATAAATAAATAAATATAAATATATAAACGATAATATAAATATAAAAACAAAAAAAATAAAATATAAATATAAAAATAATAATAAATATTAACTAAAAAGAATAAAAATAAGCAAATAAAAAGTGGAAAATGTGAAAAATTTTATTTAAATCGAAAAGATTTTATAAATAATAAATAATTTAATAAGAGACAATCCTTTAAATATCGCTAAGTAATTTCTTCTGGAATAATTATTATAATTACAATGAAAATTATAGAAAATAGAAGAGAGGAGAAAAAGATTTCGCAAATCGCCTTATCTAATTTCACTTCATTGCCTTAGGCGATATGGACGCTTAAACCGTAATAATTAATAAAATCATTTTTTTTTATAACAATCTAATCTAATTCGATTAGAAAAAATTCTCAATTATCTTAATTATGCTCTAGAAAATCTATGCGAAAAAATATTTTTATTTTAGATACGACCAGCAAATAGAAGATAATATATTTGGTTTCTAATATTCATTCATCCTAATACAAATCGTTTATTCGTTTCCTTTTCCTAACCAATTTCCATTAATTTCCATTCCTTAACCCAGTCATTCCTTTCTTAACCATTCCTTAACTCATATATTTTTCCCATTTCTTAATTCTCATTCATTAATTCTTAATCCATTTTTTAGAAAATTGTTGCAAATTTTAATTTTAATTTTAAATTTTAAAATTTTATATATAATTATAAATATATATATATATATATATAATTTTAATTTTAATTAATAAAATTTTAAAAATTTTAATTAATAAAATTTTAATTTTATTTCGAAAATTAAAATTAAAATTATATATATATATATATTTTATATATATTTTTTTTCTTTAAAAATTATAATTTATGAATAAAAATTCACTAAAATATACAAATAAAAATATTTCAAATAATATTTCATTTCAATAATTATTTAAGAATTTCTCGATGAAAAAGTTAATTAAAAATTTAAAAAATATTTATTTTTATTTAATTAAAAAAACATTTAAAATATATATAAAATATATTTATTATTATTAATTATTTTCGAGAAAAAAAAACATAAATATAAATATTTATATAAAAAAATATAAATTTTAATGAAATTTTTTAAAAATAAATAAATATATACGAATAAAAAAAAAAATTTATTTTTGAAAAAAGAATCGACGAATGATGCGTAATGTGTAAATAAAAAACGATGAAAAGAGTCGATTTGGTTCCAATCATCTCATTTTATACACCCATCGATATTATTTCACCATTCACCTTTTTCACCTCTTTTATTCACCGAACGTTTAAAAAATTGTAGATTTTTTTTCCCTTTATAAATTTAAGTCAATTCTAATTCATTCGAAGAACTACTTGAAAAAAAAAAAAAAAAGAAAAACCGGTTGAATTAATATTAAACGAATATATTGTATTATCGAAAAAAAAACGATAAAAAATTTAATTCAATTTTTCCTCTAATAAAATTTTTTTTATTTTGAGAAATAAATGAAATCATTTGACATAATTCAAATTAATAAATTAATTAATCCAAAATTAAATAATTTTATTAAATAATAAAAATTGTCGAGAAATCAATTTTAATTCATTTCAAAAAAGAAAACTACAAAAATAATAAAATTATAATAAAGAAAGAGAATAATAATAAAAAAAAAAATAATAAAAGAAAGCAAAAGAAAATATTTTCAATTTTCATTAAAAATTCAATTATAAAAAAGTGCAAAAAAAAAACTTCCATATTTAATTAAATTAAATTAATTTTTATACATTTATTTATATATATTTATTTATTTATATATTTATAAAAATTTATATATTTATTTGTTAATATTTATTAATTTTAATTAATTAAAAAAAATCATCATTATTAAAATGATTCAAGTACAAAAAAAAAAAACAAAACATCAATAGATCTTTGAATTTTTCACATTCGAAAATTATTTCTATTTTATTAATTCGAGCCATTTCAGCGAGAATGAACAATAATAACAATTTTCTCTCGGAAAATTTTGAATAGATTTTGAATTCCACAAGCGAAAAGATATCGCTGCTGTTCAACAATTATAAATGAAAATAAATGATACAATGAAACATTTAGAAAAAAATAAAATGATTTCCATTTAACAGTAAATATAATTTATAAAAAAAAATGATAACAATTTGCTCTTTTAATTTTACTAATTAGTAAAATTATTACAATAATAAATAATAAAAAATACAAAATTTAAACATAATAACATAATTTTAATTAAATTAAAATTAATAACAAAATTTAATTATAGTTAAAAATGTTTTTGAGATTTTAAATAATTTCACTTCTAAAAAAATTCGAGTAATCAAGCAAATAATTTAATTAAAAAAAAAAAATAAGAAATATAAAGTCGTTCAACTTGAAAAATCTAATAATTCGTCACATTTCAATGGGTAAAAATAATTGAAATTTGCAATATTCCTTCAAAATATAAATCTTATTAAAAATCTTATTAAAAAAAAGTTCTATAATAAAAGCAAATTAGTTAAAAATTTATTTTAAAACGAGAAAAAAATCCAAATTAAAATAAATCATCCGTTGATCAATGATCAATTAGTGGAAAAAATAAATGATTTTAATTTTGAGAATAGCGATGGACGTTTAACTAATCCTATAGCTTTTCGTCCTTCTTCCGAATTAACCTCTTGCAATTGGGCAATAGTTAGTCCAAAAACACCCGATCTGTATGAATGTGGATAATTTGTGAGATGTACGTTTGATAGCAGTTGTTCTAAGCCTAAAATCAATAAGCCCTATAAACATGAGTAAATAAATAATTTAAATTTTATTAAGAATTGATGAAAGGAGGAAATTTTTTCATCTTCTAATAGCCATTAACACGTTTGGTTTTGGCTAATTTCATCGGCTATTGAGGGCTAAAACATAAGAATAATTCCACTCCACGGAAAGAGAGAAGCTTAATTCTCCTTCCTTCAGCCATTTGGCTTTCAAGAATAGATTGACGAATCGCAAAAACGAATAAATGAATCCGTACCGGAATTAGTCGGAATAATACAAAATTATTCTAATTAATCGCTCTAATTTTATTTTTAAAAAAATATTTTAAAAATAAATTATTCTTTTTTTTTAAGTAAAAATTCATACTTTTTAATCGCTTTTCGCATAAAACTGAATTTGAATTCGAATTCATTTCATTTCTAAAATATTTCTCAATTTCGCTTCGAATAAATAAAACTGTGTTTCGATTCGATTTTTTCAATGGTTCATTAGGCCAACGATTCGCCAATTCCATAAATTTCCTATATAAATGATTTGACATCATTGAAATCTAAAATTATTATTAATTATTATTTTTATATAATTATTATATTATTATATTAAATTATTATATTAAATAATTATTTTAAACGATTATTATTTTTATATTCAAAAATTATAAAAATTTTAAATTTTCAAATATCCATTCTCAATCAAATTTTAAAGAAAAATAAATTTAATAAGTAAATCAGTCAAAAAATAAGGCAAAATAAAATAGCTATGAACAATATGCAAATATAAAATTTATTCGATTAAAATCAAATAAGTCAATTGTTATAATCTAACTGATAATGATAATTGAGATCAATTAAGAAAAAATAATTTAAAAAAAAAACAAAATTTATAAAACAAAAAGAAAATTAGAAAACAATGATAAAAACGATCAAAATAACAAAATGATAATAAAAATTTAAAAAAAAAACTCTCAAATGACGAAATAAAATATTCCTATATTCCTATATTGTATTTTTATTTATCCTTATAATTTCATTAATAGGAGATATTATCATTTTGTGACGATTTTAACGATAATTTTTTCGATGTAAAAATGGAACAGAATAGATAATAGTAGTAGTAATAATAATAATAATAATAAACTTAAGGAATTACCAATATGGCAGACTAAAATAATTCAATTAACGATGAAAAAAAAGCATTGATAAATAAACGACATCGTATAACGAAAAATCAAATCAATTTGAGGTAATAAATGATGAAAATATTTAAAATTCCAAAATTTCACATTGTAGTTTTAATAAAATTATTTAATCATGATAATAGAATTCTGATAAAAAATTTCTTGGTTTCATCAAATTCACTCATCGTCTGAATCCATTTCTTCAATATTTTCTTTAATTTCTAAAGTTGAAATTTGAGCTTCAATTTCTAAAGTACACAATTCCAATTGAACATCTCGTTTTTCAATTTTAATTGCCTTAAGATCATCGAAAAGTTGAACGAATTTTTCATCCGACACAGATTGTATCCATACGCAATAATCAGTGAGATATAAATCGTTTAATATATATCGGAAATCACCGCTGATTGCAAGAATATAGTGTATTTCACAAAGACAATGTAGAATAGCCACCTTTCCTACAAATTGAACAAATCGGTTGTTAATATTCTGAATCTCATCTATTTTTTCCAAAATGCATTTCAATTAAGACTTTTATAAGGAAATTTAATAAAAGAGAGACTAGAATATATGAATTTCACAGAATAACTACTAACCTCTACTAATAACTCTTTTTATATCATCGAAAACCTTCAAAGAAAGCTGCCAGTGACGATAAAGCGGATAACAAAGAGCACGACGTATTGCACTTGTAATAGCTTCTTTTGCATTTTTCCACCTAGTCAAATATGTTAGAGTAGGACTCAACTTGATAATTGTCCAACCTGCCAAGAAAAATTTTTACTATGAGAGCAAATAAAATAGATCTCTTTTTAAAGAAAAAAATTCGTAAAAAACAAAAAATACCTGACTCAACATTATGTTCGCCATCGGTGGTTCGAAGATCATAAAGATAAGCAAACAAAATATCAATTAATGAAAGAATTACACTGTGATTGCATGCATCCGATAAAATGGCTATTTTCCGCCTTCCTAATTCCTTCAGCTTCTCACGATCTTTTGAAGACAACTCGAAGCAAATTTCAGGCAACTGGAAATTGAGGCATTCATCGAGGATATCGCTCTTTTCATAAAGATCTGCTCTAAATTATTCAGATTATTTCACTACTAGAATATTAATTATTTGGTTATAACTTTATGTGATCTGTGAGAAGTGTACCATGAAAATAAAATATGATAATTGAGAGAAATTGAAAATCTTCTAAAAAATCCACATAGTCTTAAGTTTAAATAAGTTTAAAGTTTAAAATTTAAGAAAAAACTCGAAGATGAAATATGAGCTCGAATATCGATAAGCCTTACACTCTGGGCACTTGGCCTACAGTTTTCTGGCCATTTTTTTCCAGTCAAAAATTATTTAAAAACTACTAATGCATATGGAAAAATATAACTTTTTTTAACCAATCTTTAGAGAGATTAGCGAAACAGAAAATTAATTATGAAAATTTTTCCTAATTTTCTATTAAAAATAATAAAAATGAAAAAACCAAAGTGGCTAGCCATATTTTTAAATCATTAAATCCAGAAATTTCAAACGATAATATTTAGAATTTTTTTTTTTTTTGAAATTAATCTTTTAATATTATTATATATCAATAGTATAAAAAATATAATTAACAAATAATGTTCTGGTCGAAATGAAATTTGGTCTTGCTGTAAACATTTGCTGGATCGCTCCTCAATCAAAACGCTTTCCGGATTTTTCAAATCGATCAAATTTCCAATCTCATGAATCAATTTGCCTAGAACGTTATGTCGACGCCATCCAAAACCGTAGCCAAATTTTTTGCATACTTCATCAATTGGTGATAACTCTTTTTGTTCAATGGTTTGTTCCATATAATATTCATCTGAAGAGATTCGCAAAATTAGCAAATTAACAAAATTAGTAAAAAAAAACCACCTCTAGCAATCGCACTAATATCTATCGTTCATGCAAAATAATTATCATAAATAAATCTCACTATCATTAATATTTTCTTCACCGCATTCTTGCACGAGATGATCGGCTTCAATCTTTGACGGTTTTAATAATTCCGTTATCATTTCTAAATTTGGAAAAAATTCGCCATGAAATTTCTTTGGAACTTTGATTAAAAATTTTCCTAAAAATAAATTATTATCATTTATATTTTAATATATCTTAAATTTTAAAAAAATATTTTCAATATTTTTCATTTATTTTATTTATTAAATTATATTTTTAATGTATTTTAAAAAAATATTGAAATTAAAAAAATGAAAAATATTGAAATTTTAAAAAACTAAAACAAATAAATAAAATTAAATAAAAGCTAAAATTTTGAAGATGAAAAAATAACCATTTTCAGAATCATAATTCGCTTCACCTTTTTCATTATCAATAATTTCACATGGAAAATGTAAACGAAGAAAATATGGTGAAGATGAGAAGAAAAAAATTTTATCAAAATATTCAATTTCTGTTTCTTTTATATTCGCATAACGAGCATCAATATCAATAAATAGAAAATCATCGTCTTGTTTTATCGAAAAAATCGGAGTTATCATAGCCGAATTCTTCTATAAATATCTATCGCAATGATAAATATTTATCACAATAATAATAAATATTTAAAAGACTAAATTTTAGATGATAGATTTTATAAAACGCAAAATTCTATAAGACCGGCCAAATCGAATAGACTTTTTTTCTAAAAGCGTTCATCATTGTTGGTTGCCTAAATTCGCTCGACTAGCTTATGACGGATGATCAGATAAATTTTGCTAGAGAACCTCGTTAGCGAAGAAGAATAAGAACAACAGTACCACACCACACTAGCAATCGAATTTTCTTTTGACGTATATAGAACTTCCAGCATCGAGACTCCAAATTAAGCAACAACATATTGAACTATCCTACCTCCCTTTATTTTCATCGTTCAGCAATACTACGACTCGAGCCTGACAAGCACCACTCCCCCCTCCCCCCCCCCCCCGCCCACCATCCCAACCTTCAACCTTCCTACTAAGTCATTAATGTAATCAATTTATAGGCTATTTGACTTCAGTGATAAATTTTAAAAATTTTTAAAAATTTAAAAATTGATCTAAAAATTTTTTAATTGGATTGTGATTTTCGAATACTATAATATTTCATTGAAACCGTTAAATGATAATCAATTCAAAAGTAATAGAAAAAAATCCGAGAAATGCCTTTGCCACAAAAAATCAACGAGACAATTTTTAATAGAGATAGTAGAGAAAAATTTTCCATAATGAATTTCCATAAAATATGAAAAATATTCATTTCAATTTTTTAGCAATATCGTGTAAAAAAAAAAAAAGATAATTCCCAAGGCTTTTTTCCTTATGTTTTAATTACATAAAAAAAGCATTTAAAAAGTGTATTTCTTTCATAAATATAAATGCATAAAAAAGAATTGAATAAAATTTTAAAAAAAATTTGACCAAAAATTTACTTCATAATAATAACATTAACACAAACATTAACACAATGAGCAAATAAGCCAATGTTTCTAAAAGAGATAATTTCGATGCGAAAATGAATAAAATGGTAAAATTTTGCTTATTTTATCATCAACGACAATTTAAGAATTTAAGAATAAAAAATATTATGGCATTAACCGGGATTTTGGAAAAAATCAAAGCGGACAATAAAATCTGAATTTAATTTTTCACAAGAAAATAATTATTTTTGCAAATTTTATAATGTATGAAGAGGCACAAACTCATTTAAAAATAAAATGTATTAAAAAACTCAATGCTAAAATTATTAAAATAAAATAAATGAAGAACGATGAATAACTAAAAATAAAATTTCTCAAATTTCTAAATTTCTCAAAATTATGTTCATAAAGAAAATTTAACCAACTCCTTTAGAAAAATGAAATATCTCTAACATATATCAGATAAAATAGTCATATCAAAATGGTTGGAGGTCAAGATGAACATGCAGCACTTTTTTTTTCATTTATCAGATTTCGAATGATAGTCAGCCATCCATCGCGGCGTAAACCGACTTCATCAGCCGATAAATTTTCATAATTGACAGTCTTGTTTTTCTCGCTTATTGCCTTTAATAAAATAATATACATCGTTAAAATGTTAAAAAATATTAGTGGCGAGGAGAAGCGGATATCGAAACGACTTACTATCTATCCTAATGTAATATAGAAACTTAAGTATTAAAAATTTTAGAAAATTTAAAAACTTACAGAGAGATATAGTCTGACGTATTCAATTGCATACAATCCACAATCACTCCCATTTTGTTGTTTTGCAGAATTCTCGACGACAAGTTCGGCACAAGCTAATCCGAGACATCTTGTCATTATCTTTAGCATCTAAAAAAAACAGATTAAGACGAAATTCTCATTGAATTTTTCCACTTACAATCCGATAGCTTTGTTTTGCGAGATTCTCGACAACAAGTTCGGCAAAAAAAGCCATACCTGTTTGGCTGTATCTAACTGTGGCTTCACTAAACTATCCACTAGTGAAAAATATTCATTGCCAGAACGATAAAACAATATGGACCAATGTGAGCCACCAGGTGAAGATGGATCTTCGTGATCATTTAGCACGAATATTAGATGTTCTTTTTCATTCCATGATAAACTTTCGCAAAGAGACATTATCGAGTTGAAGTCCATAAATTTCAACATTTGACATAATGGCGCGTGAAAAATAAAAACCTTAAAGATTATTAGGGAAATTGCACGAGAATATAAAAATGAGGATATTTACGATGATCTAGGAATACAAGAGGATATTGTGAGATTTAAAGAATCAAAGAAAAGGAACGAGAAAAGATTTAAGATAAGGATTAAAAGGTGTTGAATGAATAAAAAAGTAACAAAAGGGACTATACGGGGACTTGATAGAATAAATACAGTCCATGGTATTTTTATTGTAATATTATTGAAAAATTATGGAAAAAAAAATATAAAACAAAAATATATAAAAATGAAAAAATAAAAAAATGATTCGAAGAATTTTTACTAATAAAAATTTCTTGAAGTTAACCAAATAAACCAAATAAAAATAATTAAAAATACTACGAAAATAAAAAAACAAAAATAATATGTAATGAGAATAATATAATAAATATAAAAATAATAAATATAATAAATATAAAATATATTAATATATTAAATATATTAATAAATATAATAAATATAAAAGTTAAATAAAAAATAAAACAATGATAAGAAATGAAGAACAAAAAACGAAAAAAAAAATAAACCGATTCTTTTTCATCGTCATTTAACATGGTTTCATAAAGATAATTAATTGCGAACGACAATATGCGATCAGTTAACCAATTTCCTTCAAAAAGAGTTTCCAAATCGGAAGCATAAATAGAAATATCTCCATGGGATAGGACAATTTCTTCTACATCATCAGCCATATTGTAAAAATGAATACCTAAAAAAAATAATATCAAGAATTTCAGGAATCAATACTAAGAAAAATAAAAGCAGTATTCTACAACAAAAGCAAAGCAATTGACCGAAGATCTAAAATTTTAGACAAATAAAGGACAAGAAATAACCATTCTGCAGACGACAGATTCATACGAGAAAATATTTATTAACAATAAAATCTTCTACGATAATTTCATACGTATAAGATCATATGAAGCAACAAATATTTTTCTTGAAATTTTACCGAAAATATTAAAAGTAAAAGAATGAACATAAGAAAATTATGACGTATTCGAAAAAAATGCATGAGATCACCAAAAATATGAAAAAAATGCCATATATGATGGTACAAAGATAAGATGATTATTACAAAAATAGAAATAGAAAAAAAATGGAAAGAAAATTATCAAATAGAAAAATTTTAAACAGTTGAAGGCTCAACCACCGGCCATGATATTCCATTTCTGTCTTTTTTCTGATAGGCCAAATCATAAACCCATGGTTTATCATTCGTCTCGTATTTTGTAAGAGGTATATCATAAGGTAATAAAGCCATTGATGCATCATCTGTCAATAATATTCCAAGTTCATAGGAACGAATAGTCAGCTGTGTTTCATTCTTTTGCAATTCACCCCAGGCAGCCTATAAGATATAATTTATGATCACTTGCAAGCAGTCAACTAATAAAAAATACCAACATTAACAGAAGTGAACATTGACCTTCAAAGTAATAAGACGAAACTCTCCTCGTCTTGCACATCAAAAACTAATAAAATCCTAATCCCTATAAATCCATTACTTATTCAAGAAATATTAGATTTTAAATACCTCAAATCTACTCCCATATCTAATGGCAGAGCGGAAAATGAAATCCAAAGTTTGATGATTATAACTAGAGATACTTTCGTCTAGAAATCAGCCGAATTTCAGCCAAGGTATAAAACTGACTGAGCACAATAAAGCGTGCGCAAGTAGGGTCATGTTATTCGTCATCCATCATAAAAATTGAAGCGTATCTTGCTACTTGCTAAATTCTGTGATGAACTGCAAAAAACAAGTACGACCAACCAAGGCCTGGATTGATCTGGGTAGGAGAGATTTTGAAAACACACGTGGTTCAGCGGCTTAAGGGCTTAAATAATAGAAAAAGGAATGGCAAAGGAAAGAAAAAGGTTATTTCCAAGTATGGCATCGAAAAATATTATCTTCGTCGTCAATGCGGCCAGCCTAACCAGAACCATTAAAAAAGATTATTTATTAAAGAACAACAAAACATATTAGTTGTTATTTGAGGTTGGCCCCAGTAAATATGATTGCTTGGAATAGCATAGATGGAAGGCGACCTCAAACAGCCATTTAGATTTCATTTTCCATGATAAATTTAATGCTTTAAAGGAAAATGGATATAAAATGGATATAAACTTAAATTTATGGAGGATTTAAGGGACCTAAGAGTGAAAAACGACAAAAATTTTTTCACTAAAATCTTTACAAAAAACCATATTACAAATGACATTTAAATTGAAAAAATCTGCTTCAAATATTTCAGATGGTAGAAATGCCATCTAATTATCAAATAAAGAATTTCTCAAAAAACCTTTGAAAGATTAGCACTTGTAATTAACATCCAAGAAGGAATACTCGAATCTTCATTAAACGCTGAATAGCTTTTGATATGTGGCATCACATGAGTACGACCAAATTTCTCACTTCGCCACTTATACATAAAATTTATTAAATATTCTTGTTTTGTAGCAGTGACTGCTCGATAAGGTAATGAACCCCCTGCCAAATAGCCTTCAATAGAGCATCGAACATCTTCCACGCAAGGATATATAAGTTTTAATTTTGATGACGCTGTAAACAATATTAAACAATATTTCTTTTATAAAAGAGATGAGGAAGAAGAAATATAAATACAAAATAAGATCAATTTTTATTTCCTTAATGTAAGATGTAAAAATTGCAAATTACACTCACAACTGTTCGTATGCTTATTAATAAAACGAATTTACCACAACTCTTTCCTCCCGAAAGACTTGTCAGAAATTGACCACATAACCATGATTCAGGTTTAGGACCTAATGATCCTATTGAGCTAAACTGAGCGTGAAATGTTGGATTGACCAAGTTCAAGTTTCTAAGCTCATTTCGAAGACGAAGATGACCATATTTTTCTTTGTTCGAACCTAAAGATAACAGTCATTGGTAAATACAAAGAATTAATTTTTGGTATTCTTATAAATATACTTCATGAACTGTGTAGCTTTCCTTAATGACAAATAGAAATATCATTGAAAAACTGGTAATATAAATTAAGTATGGAAACTGCCCTTAAATAACTATTTTATTTTCACAAAGATTTTACCCTTGTGTGATCCAGGAACAGAAAAAATAATTCGCGCTTTAATAGCAGAAAAATCTGCTTTTTTGATTAAATCACGCCATGGTTCAATTAATTTCGAATCTCTCGAATTATTATAGAAATTAAGATATTCCAGCAATTCATTACGAAAAGCATCATCATTTTTTCCTTCTTCATTATCTGTCTAAAATCACATTTATATTCTAGTGGAGCTATTAAGTAGATTTGAAATTGCACATATATATATATATATATATTTATAGAATTTGAAAATTTACCATAATTTCTCCACTGCAATGATAAAAAGCTTGCGTTTTATCTTCCCAATCATTTGATAATAAATTTGCTGTGGAAATAATCAAATGTATTTTTTCATTATTACTTTCGAAAATAGATAATTTTGTATGGTGAGTACCGAAAGGAATCGGTAATCTAGCACAACCAATTTTGATATTTTCTGCTTTTATTTCTACTGCTTGTTGCCTCAAAAGTTTACGTTCATTTCCATCCTCACCAATGATTAAAGTTAACGGATTTCTCGCGGATTGAGAAGGATATTGTCTACAAATTTTAGAATGAAAAAAATTAGGATTAAAATTAGGATTTAGAGAAACTGTGAATTTAAAAATTTAAGGATTAACTAAATAAATTTTAAAAAAATGGAAAATGAAGATCTCATATTTCTGATAAAAAAGCGAAAAGATAAAAAGAGAAAAGATTGATTTTTTAGTGTTAGGAAGCGAAAAGATTGGTTTTTAGCGATCAAATGCTGAAAATAGGAAAAATGAAATATCTAGATTACGCGAAAAGCCATGGCAAATCTATCATAAAATTGAAATGAATTGACGCTTTCGGATCAATTAATTTTAACAGTTCTGATAAAGATAAAGCATTTCGACTAAATCGACGAGGATGACCAACCACCTAAACAAATATCACCATTACAACTTTATCATTAATAATATAAAATAAACGAATTATTAAAATTATTCGAATAATTATTTGAACTGAAATTTTAAAAATTAAAATGAATTATTAAAATTGTTTTAATAATTATTTGAACTAAAATTTTAAAAATTATTCAATAATTAATTATTTAAACTGATTCATACTGATAAGGTCAAATAAAATAAGATATCAGACAATATCAGACAATATATTGTACAATGCTAAATATATGTAAGGAATGGAAAAAGGATTGGCTTCTGCCAATTCGAGAAATGCCACTGCAGTCAGAAAACTCCTAAAATTTCTAACCCAGCAGCGAGCGATATTATGCCAAAAAAATTGTATAGAAAAAGGATGATTTCATTTTCATTTCATTTCACGAGACCAGTTTATCATATTTTTACCTTGTTCACTTTGGTATAAATATTGGCTATTTACCCCGTAATGCGATTAAATTTACACTTACGCATGACTAATGTACTTATTAGATTTATTTGTTATATTGAAGAGACAATATGAAAAACCTTTGTAAAATAAAGAGCGTTATTTAATTCAACAGGTTCAACTGGTTCATATTTAGGCACCTTCAAATCTTGGTCATTCGAAAATTCCTCACATAACAAATTCAACGCGTCACCTTTGCGTTTTGTCATAATCTAAATATAATCCAAATTAACTAATATAACAAATAAATCTCATTATGTTAATAAAAATTAGTGAAAAAAAAAAAATAAAAGAATTACATGGCTAACTGGTCACCATTATTCAAAAATATCAATGTAAAATTAAGAGAGAGCCAAATGCAAGTTGCAAGATTTCGAATTCTGCTTCTTGACAAGAACCAAAATCCAAAAAATTCATGCACATACTGGATATCTACCTATATGTCTACATTCTTTGTCGAAATAATCACATCCTATGAATCGGTGAAAGCCAAGTAAATCAATGTTATATTATTAGATGAAAAAAAATCAAGATGATAAATCAATAAAAGTGGAAAACAACCGTTGTTGAAATCGAAATAAACTACAAAATAAAAGCATTTTAATCGTATCGCAGCGATCAAAAAAATTAAGAAAACATTAAAATTAGAAGAGAAACAGTATGAAAAATCTTGGACATTGAAATGAACTATTATTTATAATTATCCAAACATTTGCCGTTTACGACCTCGACGCCGCACTTCTTCTAATTTCGCGAAAATATTTTTAGCTTCTTTCGTATTATTTAATTGATATGCATCGATTATACTAGCAAAAAGTGCTTCGGTATTATTATGCGTACTTATTAATGCCTTTTCAAGCACAAACAAATCAACGCTTTTCTTTTCTATTGACGGGCTTATCTAAAAAGAAATTTTTCAAATCTTATATTCAGATACTTTAAAATAAAAAGAAAGATTAAAATATATTCTGATAAAGTAATATACGATCGAAATACTACAAAATAATTTCTATGAAAAAAAAATAAAAGAATTATGAGAATTAAATAAACCTCAGCCAAGCCGAAATCAATCAGAACAATATGATTGGCATCACGACGTAATAGAAAATTTGATGTTGTAAGATCACCATGAATAATATTTAAACTATGAAGTTTTCCAATCACTGAACCCATATGATGACCTATTCGCTTCACATTTTCCTAAAAAATATTTTAATTATTTTATTTATTTATTATTTACTTTATTTAATTATTATTTTTAGAGTATAACTTTTTTGAGGAGAAAAATTTTCCCTACTGGCCACCTATATCATTCAATAAATTAATTATAATTAATTTAGGTTTTATAATCAATCATGAAAAATTTTTCTCAAAAATTTTGGAAATGTAGGTTTTTACTTTATAATTTTCATTATCCACGAGAGATTCAACATAATTTCGAACAGTGATCCCATCTGGAATCCATTCCATAATGAATTTATGATCATTAGCAAAAACAAAATAAACAGCAGGCACATCGATTCCATTCTGCAAAACAACTATTGTAAAAATAGATAATATTTGAAACTAGTGGGATTTTTCTCGCCTGCCACGTATTAATATTTTAAAATAACTTTGATCCGGCTGCTTTAGTAGAATAAACACTGATCATCGCATATTAATATTAATAAAAATTTTATTCGCCACCTCAAATTTGGGTAATTAAACCGATTAATACATAGATAGAGAAAACAAGATTTGATTAAATCAAAGAAACTAGGAGACTAATAACTATTTCAAACAAATAAAAAAATTCCTCAGATAATCAAATAATAATAAAATATAAGGGATGTTAAAAATAACAAAATATTAAAATATTGGGATCCAGCTGCTCGGGTGGCACCAAAATGAGAGAAGAATAATATACAATATATATTATAAATTGACCTTTACCCTTTACTAACATATGTGAAGGCAAAGAATTATTAATGAAAAGCTTCATTTGACAGGTCGGGATCACCAGTTTGAAATAATGAATTTGAAATAATAAAAAACATCGCATTTCACGACAATTATAAATTAATCTTTTTATTATTTTAGACTCTGAAAATGTTGAACTATTTTAATAATAAAAAATTTTTATTAATTTTTGTATCAAAATATTGAAAATGAAAATAGAAAATAAAAACCGATTTGCATTTATACATTGCCCTTAATTCTGCAGCAAAACGTTCCTTCGATAGATTTTCGTCTAAAGAAATATGCCTAAAAAGGAATTTTTATCAATAAAAATTCGATCAACAAATTTTTTTTTCTTTTTTCCATATGAACATCAAAATAAAAATAGAAAGGAATAACAGCCAAAAATAAAAAGAAATAACTCAATTTTTGGTAAAAAATTCCTCAGATAACAAATAAAAATTTAGGTAGTAATAAACTTCACCTATATTTTTTGACGAATCTCTCTTTTAATAGAGCATCTCTGCCAAAATATTTGCATTTATATAATCTTGCCTCAGCACCTTGTGCAAACAAAGACTCACGTTCAATGCTACATTCATATTCCATCTTTTGAGTATATCTAAATAAGGAATGAAGAAATTAGCAGGCACATCGATTAAGTGAAAAGCAACTATTTGAAATAGTTCATTGAACAAAAAAAACCACTGAAACCAGGAAAAAAAAGCAAGAAAAAATTTCGGAATAAAACAAGAAAAGAATATTCGAATTCGTTCAATCAAATCATTTATTCTTTTTGTTTAATAAGTATAATAATTATATAATAGAATTATGATAATAGAATTTATGATAATAGAATTTTTCGAAAACTTCATTTGCCCCGAAAAAAAAATTAAAAATTAATTACTAAAATAATGACATTAACGACATCTTACCAAGGTGGCTGCGAGTTATTCTATCTCCTAAATTGACTCATTCGCCAAAAATCTTATTCTCATAGTCAATGAAACATGCCAAATCAGAAATGATGCATGCAAAAAATTATACTAGCGATGGCGTCGGACCAAGCAACTAGGAGACGTCTTACACTTGCAACCAGCGAAGTCAGCCTAACCAGTAATGGTGAGAGCGAGCTGTTAGAAGAAAGAAGGAAATTGTGCCCTTAACTTTAATTATATTTCCTCTTCAGACTCAGATGGTGGCAAATCCAATTCGTAAGTGTTGCTTTTTGCAACCTCTTTTTTAATATTTTCTAAATATATATTTTGTTGTTTTATTATATCAGAAGCAGTTTGACAACTAGCAAAATTATCGAGTAGCTCACGATTCATCTTCAAAAAATTGAAACCCCATTTGAATTTTGCCATGATTGCTTCCGCGGCATCTGGAAAACCAACAATATATAGTCCAGCTGCCAATGCTTCAGCACAAGTTAACTGGCATGGTTTACCGAAGTTTACAGGATTGGCAGCGATAAGATATGGCAATAAACGATATTTAGAAGCTTTTATTCGATGCAATGGTGTATTATCAACCTTAAATTTTGTATTTTGCATATATTTTAAATCTTTCAATACATTAAGCAAAAATAAATTTCATAATTTGCTCAAAAAATTGAATATTCGGACTGATATACGCGTACAAAATTAAAATATTCCCAGTTTATAAATGGGTGGCAGAAAATTAATATTTACTGAAAATTTCTTTAACCTATTAAATATTATATTCATCGAACAATTTTATACAAAATACCTGGTTCCAACTACAATCAATAACAGCTAATCCATTCATCTTGATAAAGTCAGCATCCGCGGGTGATATTGTTGATGTTCCTGTTGGTGACAAAACGATACCGTGAAATTTCGAGCCAAGCTTTAATTGTTTTACTAAATTGAAACGCATCAATTTACGACCAGAACATCTCTTTGGATCGCACTGATTAAAATCAAACATACCTATCCAAAATAAAAACTAATATAAATTGAATAAAATGAACGGATTACTTTTAGTTTCATTTTTTATTTTTTAAATCTGTGACAATTAAATCTAATTATTTAAAAAAAAAAAAACCTAATTTAAGCGATTCAAATACATCAAATTCATCATCTGAATCAGGCGAAGAGAGATCAGAATCTGAAGAAATAGCACCATTATTCGTATGAGTGTTCATATGAGTTTCACTTTCTTGCATAGGAATTTTGTTTTCTGCATAAATAATACTACTACTCCCCGCTTCCGTGTTCCTTGCGATTTGCATTTTTCGCCACTTTTTTTTATTTTTAGGCATCGTCAACAACAATTATTCTGAAAATGATAAAAATAAATCAATACAAAAATCCCCAGAAAATAAATAATAAAAATAAAAATTTCATAATTTTTGGATAAATGAAAAATAATACAGGAATTATACCATATGAAAACAATATAATTTAACTTATATTTTTATTTTTGAGCAAAAATATAATAAACAATATTATAATAAACAATAAATAAATAAAACGAAACATGGCCAATAAATTTATAAAAAAAAAAGAAACGACATCTTTACTTAGAATCAAAAAAAACACCTTAAAACATAAATATTACCAAATTTGGTGGAGTTATAATTTATCAATTCAAAATTAAGCCTATATGGATTAAACATGCCTTAAATCATAGAATTTAAAAATCACAACGTTGGCTACGAGACTAGAATAAAATGTGCAGTTATGAGATTTGAAACAAAATAACAAAAAAATCGAATGCTGCTAAAAAAATTGAGATAATTTAACAAACACGAAAATCCCATAATTTCACAGTTTTATCATAAGAACCGGAAACAATCTGATAATCATTAAACTGAAGACAAGTGACTCCATCTGTATGATTATATAAAGTACAAAGACGTTCACCGGAATGGATATCCCAAACCTAAAATAAATAAAATGTTCACTCAAAAAAAATTAAATAAATAAATAAAATAAACAAATTTACCTTTACAGTCCGATCGTCGGCGGCTGACACTATTCTCCAAGCATCAACTTGTAAATTACGTACGACTCCCGTATGCCCTTCTCTCAATTTCCAATCCAATGTTTGAAGGCAGCGGCCAGTTCTCAAATCCCACATCTCAAAGAAAGCAAATAAAAGTAAAAAGTGGTTAAAACGAATAGAATAAAATAATACCTTTATTGTCTGATCAACACTGCCTGAAATAATTCGCTCGTTATCAAATCGTACACATGTTATAACGTTACTATGAGAATTATGCAGCGTCATTGTACAAATTCCACTTCGATTATCCCAGCACTGAGATAAAAAAAATTTTAGAAAAATTAATTTAAGAAATTTAAGTAAAATAGAAATTATAAAAAATATATAAAAATAGGAAGGTCTATAAGAAAAGAGAATTTTTTTGGGATATAAATCGAAAATTCGGCTTATAAATAGACCTTGATCGAAAGATCCGCTGAACCTGACACTAGCATTCCATTACTGCTTTGCAAACAGATAACTGCACCGTTATGACCACTAAAATATAAAAAATATTCGCATCTTAAAAATCGATTCTTAAAAGAATCAAACAAAAATAAAAGAATATTACTAAATTTGCTATAGAATCATTTGTCGATAGTAGTGAAAGTCCCAAATTATTCAGAAGAAAATAAATTTTTTCTTGACCAAAGTGAATAACTGCTTCTAAATTGAACTTCAACATCCTAAATTTTTTCTTTTCACCGAAATGTAGATGTAACCCACGAATAAACATACTTTAGCGTTGACAAGCACTGGCCTGTAGCCAAAGACCATTTTTTTAATGTGCAATCGTAAGAGCCACTGATTAACTCATGGTCATCCATCTGAAGTGAAATTATCACTTAAAAAAGTAGCGTTCAAATAGAATGAAGTTTAATGATAAATAATTACTAAAAAATCTAAATAAAAAGTAGCGTTCAAATAGAACTAAATAAAAACCTGTAAACATCGAACGAAATTTCCATGACCAAGCATTGTCTGACGACATGCAATTGATGACCATGTTCTGTTTACTGCCAAATCCCAGATCTTCAGATAAATTTTTTGAAAAGAAAAGAAATTTAAAATGATAATGATAATTCTTTTAAACATAACTTATTTATTTTTAATTTAATTTACGTGTTGTTACGTGTTGTAATCTTTTGAATGTATAGGTGGACCAGCAGTATATGGACTTAGACGATGGAAAAAGGAATGGCTTCTACTGCTGTCGACAATGGCATCAGACCGCGCAGCTTGAAAGTGTCTTATTCTTGTAGCCGTTCGAGCCAGCCTAACCAGTAATGGTGAGAGTTGTTAGAAGAAGAAGAAGATCGCACTAATCTTATTCATCCTACTGATTTATTTTTAATTTATTTGCTTTGTTAAAAAGAAAGAATTTATTAAGAGAATGCAAACTTTAATTGAAAAATCATTGGAACCGGAGGCAAGACGATTTCCTGAAAGATGTAAACAACGGACAGTATTTGAATGACCAGTGAGAGTCATCGTGCCAACACCAGTCATAGTATTGCATTTAACATCCCATACCCGTATAGTCTTATCAATACTACCTGATACTATACGCTCATCGTCGAATTGAACACAAGTGACACCTGTAAAACTTTAGAGATTTAAAACATAATTTAGAATTGAATAAAAAAATCGAAAAGAATTTAAAAATAGATCTTAAAGAAATAGAACTTATTGCTTAAAAAATTCTAGAAAATTTCATATATCCACTGAGCTTCATAAAAATTTCTATATTTCTCCTATTTCTATTGATTTTCAACAATTTTTTTTTTCTTTGGGTATTTCACTTATTATGAATATAAAATACCCTGTGTATGCCCAAGTAGAGTACGAATCACACACCGACCAGTAAGCCAATTTTTCCACAGCCTATATCGTTCACTGAAAATTTTTTTCCAAGAAAAAGTGCCATCACGATTTCGATGTTTCAGAAGATGTTGCTGATCTGCTTCACATGAACATATTCGATAAAAACTGGCAGAATTACATAATCCTTTCCATAAACAAGATTCATTACAAAGATTTCTCCAAGCTCGACAAACAAGCATACAATTACATAATGATTCTGAAATCAACGAAAAAAAATTTATGAAAGAAAAAGAACAGCATTTCAATTCTCTCATAATAAAAATTTCAAAAAATTTTAAATGCACCATACTTGGATCGAGAAGACGAAGAATTTTAATGGCTATTCGAGGTGGTAACGAACTAATTGGATCGCTTCTCGTATGAATAATATGTTTCTGACGTATAAAATCTAATATTCGAGAAGCATATTCTAAATTTGATTCATCGCAAGAAACCTGTAACTGCAAATTCTAAGAACAAAAAAATTATTACACAATAATGAAAATTTTCTTGGCAAAAATGAAAAGAATGATTAAAATAAAAGTATCAATTAATCAAATCATTAATAGCGATTAAAAGAATAATAAAAAAAATAAAAAAATTAACCAAGAGTTCCCAAATCATCGCTTCTTTCATTTCCGCATTACTATTTTCGAGAAGAGAACGAAAAATCTGAGATAAAATTAGTAGTTATTTTCTAGTCCTGGTTGATATTCAGTTTTGATTAATATTAAGAATATTAAAAAAAACTTTTATAGGCAAGCTTTCTATTCTCCGCCAAATCTTATGATAGAGCCTAATCAAAATATGGATTAATATGTTTTTTCTAACATTTTAAACGATAAGATGATATTCAGTGATACAACCTCTCTGGAATAATGAGCTAAGATTATTATTATAAGATTATTAATATCTTTATGTAATTTTTTTTTCCGAAATTTCTACAAGTTTCGACCATTCAACGTGATTGTTTTTTTTTAAAGTTTTATTTTTTTTAATTTGTTTTTTTCTCTTCAAATTACAGCTTTTTATTTTCGACAGAAGTAAACATGTCACGAATATCAAAAATCCAAGTGGCTGCTGGGGACCCACCTATAACTCTATAGTGACTCTATGGTGAAAGGATATGATTTGCTTGGCATTTGCATCCTCCGACGTGAATGAAACTCTTGGCTAGGTGGTAAATGCCACAGATATACAAGCCGGGAGTAGTAAAACAATCTGAAGGCTTGTGAATAAGGTGTACAGATGAGCCAAAGAAATGCTCGAAATTTACCAAAGGAAATGGTTTTCTGCACGCTACGAAGCAGTAGCAGCGGAGCAGCGGAAATTTTATGGATTTTGAAGGATGATGGAATATGACGATGTTCTAGAGATGATCATTCGACTCATAAAGATATTTTATAATGGAATTAAGAAAATCAGAAATTTCATAGAAAATAATTTTTAATTTCAAAATACATATATACTAACTAACTCTGATATTTGAACTCGGAAAAAAATCAGTTGAATTATTTTGATCATCTGTCAACCGAGATCGATTATTATCACAATCATCGGTTGATGAAACTGTCGTTGATGACGAACTCGCCGTTGACATTGAATAAGCATTATTTTCCGAAAACATCTTGCCAACAAACAAAATACGCTGAAAAATTCAATGTTTACGCTAAAAAAGCACCAAACATGAAGATAGAAGTATGTGTATATTATACTTTACTTTTATCACCTCGTTCTAAAAGAAACTAATCCATGATTTATTTCAAACCCATCACTTGAGATCCCTAATTTTGCCAATCTTGCCCTAATTTTCTCACTTCTTATTAATATTATCTTTATCATGTATTCACCTTTTTTTTTATTATCAATAATACTGGAGTCGTCTTAGAGATTCTTTATCACAATTTGAAAATTTGATAATTAACTTTGACAACATCGATCAGTTAATTTTGCAAGAATGAAGGAAGAATATCTCGTATAACTCTGATCAGAGTGAAGCTTCGTAATCCTAAAATTTAATTCTCATTTAACCTTTCCATTTCCAATTTTTAAATATGGACGAAACAATACGTGGAATGATAAATATTAAATTTTAGCTCAACCAGTTTTTGAAACGAAATAATGAAAATAAATTGAAACATTACCAAATCTAAATAAGGCCAAAATAATTTAATGAAATTTATTATATTCAAATAACTTTTCGCATTCTTCCAGGCAAAATAGAAAGAATTTACTTTGTAATTTTATCAATTTGATAAGATTTTTATTTTAAAAAAACTTTTAAAAAATTTACTAATTATAAAAATCGATTACCTTTGTGATTAATTAATTATTTTTTCATAGATTTTTTTTTTATAATGGAAATTCCCATTATTTTTATTCTTATTCTTGAAAAATTGAACTGAAATTAAAAATATTTTTTGAAATCGATTTTAATTAAAGCTAATTTAAGAAGAAAAAAAACGGATTCAGAAGAAAAAAGAAAAAAAATTATTCGACTTAAACAATTCAAAAAAAATTTTAAAATATAATGCTTAATATTTAATTTACTATAATTAAATGAATTGATAAAATTGAATGTAAATAATATACTAAAATCGATATCAAAATTGAAATCAAAATATTAAAATTAATTTTAATTTTAATTTTAAAATTAATATTAAAATAATATTGATATTTTAATTATTTCTATTAAGTAATAATTAATATTATTTCACTATTTAATATTATTTCTTTCTTTCCTTATAATATTATTTAATAATATTTCTATTACTTTATTACTTAATACTTAACATCAATGTTTTCACTGTTTTTATTTATTAAATAATTAATATTATTTAATTATTAATTAGTATCATTTTATTCAATAAGGAAAAAAAAGTATTATTTAATATTAATGATTCCAATAATTTTTATTTATTTTTATTTATTCATTTCATTTAATAGTTATTAAATAATTAATATTATTTCATTATTTAATGTTATTTATTTTAATTAATACAAATATTTTATTTATATTTATTTATTAATTTTATTTACTAATTATTAATAATTATATTATTTAATATTATTTTATTTTATTATTTTATGTTAAACTTAAAAATAATAAAAAAGAATAAGAAAAATAATAGAAAATAAGGAGCTTTAACGAGGATAAAAATGAAATAAATCGCAATAAGCATTGACGGGCCTTAAAGGCGACTAATTACTGCCTTTACTGCCGAAGTATGAATAAACAAATAAATTTATTGCAAGAATTTCCGTTGTAAAGTAACTGTGGAAGCCGAAATACTAATATTCGGATTAATTGCGGCAAAAATTACTGGCAATTAGCCAATTTTTTGAAATTCATTTTAATTTTTTTTAAAATTTTATGAAAAAAATTCTAAAGATTATTTTTCGTAATGATAAGTATTTTTAATTAATTTCAATATTTTTCAAATTTAACCTTTTTTAATATTTTCGATCAAATTTTAGTGAAAATTTGATTGAATTTTAATTTTAATTTTTTCGATGAAATTCCCATTTTTTTTTGTTTTTTATTTTTAAAAATTTTTGCTTAATTTAATTTAATTGATTTTTACTAACTTTTAAAATATTTTTTAGTTAAAATGATATTGCTTACGAGAGAATTTTTGTTAAAATATATCTCCACTACTGTGCGGCTGAAATGCGGCTCACTAGAGCTATAGGGGTTCAATATAAATTCATCGAATCCCTTTTAAGGACATTACTATTTGTCGACTACTTTTTCTTTATTATATTTTTATTATATTTATTAGATTTTTTATATTTATATTATTATTACATTTATTGTATTTATATTGTTTTTATTATTATTTTTATTTATTTATTTTTATTTATTTTATTATTTTATTATTTTTATTATTTATTACTTTTATTTATTATAAAATTATCTTATAATTGAAATAATTGCAATTTTGAAAACATAAGAAACCGGTTGAATTTTTCGTTTAAACGTTGAAATGGAAAGAAATTTTTTATAGAAATTTATTATTTTAAATTTTTTTTCTATTTTTTTCGACTATTTCATCGTTGTTTATGCAAATTTTTTAACTTTTGCTTTATGTAATTTGCATAATAATTCTTTGATTATTAATTTCTTAATTTTAATTTTAATTATTAATTAATTAATTTTAATTATAATTTTAATTATTTATGTTCATATTTATTTTTATTTTATTTTTTATTTTTTTGTATTTTTTTCGATTATTTATATTTATGTTAAAATTTTTAATTATTTACATTTCTTTTTTTTCGGTTTCAGTTTATGAAATATGAATTTTTATTAAAATTTTATTATGAAATATGAATTTATGTACAACGCTTAAGAGAAATTAACTGACAAATGGCAATATTAACAATAATAATTTGTGTTTTTGGTGGCTGTGCTTCATGTATGATCGCAACTGAACTTATTATTAGGTTTATTCTTTTTAAATTTTTTAAAACTTTCTTTATCATTTCTTTATCATTTTTTAATAATCTTCCATTTTAAATATTTTTTTCATTTATATTAATTTTTAATTTAATCTATTTTTTTTTCCTTTTTGCAGAGAATGTTCGGAATGTGCTAATTTGCTAACGTTTGCAATGTATATTTGGGTAAGTTTTATTGGAATAATTATGCGAACTAAATTTTTCACATTTATGCCATCGAGAAAATTGCCCGTTTCAAGGTTTGTTCTTTAATGCATTATGATTTTATTTTATTTGGTTTTTTTAATTTATCTAATTCTTTTATTTATCGATTTATTTATTTGTTTTTCTTCTTTTTTTTTAGCTATTTATTAATTATATTCATATCGTTTTTGGTCAGTATCAGCAATAATTTATCGTTAAATTTCAATATTTCTATTCCGGTTTTAATAATTTTTCGATCGGTTCGTTTATTACAAATCGATAATTATTATTATTATTTATAATTTATTATTAAATGTTGCGGTATATTTTCTTATTTTAAAGGGTCAAGGAAAGGAAAGACTCAAATTTTCTTCATTTTTTCTCAAAATCGTAATATATCAAATATTACTACATAGCCGTAGCAGTTTGTAGCACTTGTATTTGCTATTTTGTTGGAGGAAAGTGAGAAGTGACAGTGATTGATTGTTGAAATTGATAGTTTGATGATGATCTCTGTTAAATTTTTCATTATCAGTTTGAACTCGAATCATTGTTGATTAAGTAGGTATTACTGTAAAATATTTTTAAACCTTTCATTCTGATTTTTAAGGTTTTTAAGGTTTTTTTCTCTCAAACCATCTATTGCTTGGCCATCGCATTTAAAAGTGGCGATTTATATCCTGATTGGGCGTCCACGTTTTTTGCATCATCCATCATAGATTTTATCCTTGTAATGTTCATAGAGAAATATATTGTTCAGTTCTTATTGTGAGCATTGAAAAATATGACTTTTGCTTTGTGATGATAAACATATGGATAGTCGTCTGTGGAATTCTGCCATTTATTATTATTAATAATAATTTTTTGAAAATAGTGCACCGATATTTTTTATGCTTTTTCGTTAATGAAATTTTAATGAAATTTTATAGAAACTGATTTTTATTTGGTTTATTTTTATTTTGAAGATAATAATGAATCGTTTCAGGGTTCTTTAATCGCTCAATTAATTATGGGTCGATATTTGAGGAATAATTTTTATTCGCAACGTCAGATTGTTTCTGTACTACTTTTGACTGTTGGAATAATTATTTTCACTTTGGCTGATATTAAAGAACATCGAAAGATATCTATTGTTAGAACATCGATTTTCCTTTTACCTTCGTCACTAATAGGTGATTTTATTTTAAATTTTTTTATTTTCAAGATTTGTTAATAGCTATTAATTTATATTTAAACAAATAAATTCTATTTGTATAAAAAATTATATTTTAATTTCATTATTTTCAAATATTATTTTCAGATATTTCTAGATTGAATATTATTTGATTTGATTATTACGTCTGTTAACTATAATTATCTTTAATGAATAAATTAATTCAAATTAATGAGACAAAAAATTTTTATTTTTCTTAGTATTTCACTGCATATATTTAATATCAAGCAATTAAATATTGCTTAAACATAAATTAGTAATTATTTTATTTTTTATTCATTTAAATATCATTTATTTGAATAATTTTGTCATTATTATAGTTCATTATGTTCAATATTATCCATTTAATAATATTTGTAATGTTTCTTTTTGGAATGTTTTTATAAATTAGGCAAAATAATGATCAGAAAAATAAAATATCAAATAACAAATACAAATAAATATCAAATTAATTTGTTTTTAAAAATTTTTTAAGCATCTTTATTTTTTTCATTTTTTTGAGAGATTAAATTCGTTCCACTGGCTTGTCGCATTGGGCAATATACCAGAAAGGCGGTAGAAATACAGGTGAATCGCTAGCATCACCCGGTTTTTTGTCCATCTTCTTTAGGCAAATAGATTTTTACTATTTTATTATTTTTGTGATTTTTCCAATTTATATTGCAGGAATTGCTTTACTAACATTTGGTTTATTTGCTTCTGCTTACCTTGGTATTTGCCAGGAAAATTTATATCATAAATACGGAAAACATCATGAAGAATTAATGTTATTTGTTGTTGGTTTAATTTTTCTTATACGTTAGCCACTGTTATTGCTATTATTAGTTGATGGCATTTTAAATTTCTTCTGATAATATTCAAATAGTATTTTTGTCAAACGTTTTAATTCCTTTATTTTTAGCATTTACTCTCATTACCTGCATTTATTTTTTTCTACGAAGATATCATGAACGGTATAAGCCGTTTGAATTATTCGCTACCATTACATATGTTTGAATTTCCAGTACCACGATTGTGGATATCGCTGGTTGCTCTTTGTATTTCGCAGTAAATTTCAATATAGCTCATTTTTCTTTTTTTTTCTGGCACAATTAATTCTTATTAATTCTTGTTAATTAATTCTTGGGATATTTGATTCGATGGTAGTTTGTCGGATTGTAAAAAAAAAAAACTTTTCTTGCAAAAAAAAATTAAGGATATTTTTTTGCCTATAGTTGGCTATATTTTTAGCTATATTGATTTCTTCTCAAAATGAAAGGTTTTTCAATAATTTAAATTACATTCACATGTCTTTATTTAAGATGGATTTGCGTTAAAAATGTATATAAGTTGACCTCAGTTACAAGTCCACTGAATGTCACAATAGTTGTGACTATGCGAAAATTTATCTCATTAACACTGTCAATTCTTATTTTTAAAAACGCGTTTAATATGATACATTTGGTGGGTGCATTACTCGTATTTATTGGTTCCATTCTTTATACTGATGATATTTCGCCTTTTTTATTCAAAATTAAGGAGAAATTTAAGAAAATAGTGCCGCTATGAGGTTAGTTTTTTATATTTTATTTTTTATTTTTCATCTTCAGCCAATTAATTTTGAGTCTTATATTGCTTCAATGGTGATAACATTGGTTCGACCTTTATATAAGTCTCCTGCAGAAGAATCTTATCAAAAATGATATTCGGATGGTTGTTTGGGCTGCAAAATGATTTTTTGGCTATTGGATATAAGCGTCTGGCTTTAGAAGGCAAAAAGCGGTCCATACTAGATGTAAATGATGTATACTACAAGAAAGTGATTTTCTTAGTGGTTTTTTGTATCTTTTTCGCTTTCTAAATTGAGATTCTCCAAGAAATTGTGGTCTCTAAGAAGTCTTTTACTTGCTTTACTCTTATTTTTACTTTTCTTTCTTTCATTTTTCTTAATAACAACTATATTAGAGTGGATTTTAATTTAAAAAATTATGCATTCGTAATTCACAATTGTTGATCTAGAATTTGCGAAAAATGAAGTTTGGTGAATAGTAATTAATTCATTTCATTTTCGTTGGATATTTCATAAAATTTGTTTCTGTATGGACTGAATTTTTCCGAAGAATTATGGATTGAATTTTCGTTACTAATCATTGCCTAGAATATTTGCATAATTTACGCTCATCTCTCATTCCTTTTCTCATGCTTTTTTGTCGTGCGCATTTGTCTCTACGCTTTATTTATTTATTTTATTTCCATTTTTCTTTCCAGAATTTTTTATTCATTCTTCGTTTCAAATACTACAAATTGAATACGTTTAATAAATCAGCATTTTCATTATTTTTCATTACTGACTGTTAACGATGATTGCTAAAAGATAAAAAAACCTATAAGAGAAAAGAAAGATGAAGTTTTGAAGAGAAATTAGTATTATATAAATTGATGAAAGAATTGTTTCCTAAATTTATTCATTTTAAATAATTTAATAAATTATAAAAAATACAAGTAATTATTTAAACTAATTGCAAATAAAATATAATTCTCATTTGTCTGATTACTTTTTATTTCAATAATCTACCATTTTTGAAATCTAATAATCAAATTAGTATGGCTATTGATATTTTTTATTTTTACTGATATATTTTATCAGTCAATGAAGAAATTTTTTCAATAGATCTTCTCCTTATTGAATTCAATTCAAATGCTCAAATGCTCAGTGTTGTAAATGCTCAAAAATACTTCCTATTTTACCATTTTTCCTAGCTTAAATATAAAATATACAAAAATATTTAAAATAAATAAAAAGGGGATGGCTAAAAAAATTTTTTAAAATAAATATTCCTTTTTATATAAACGAAATAATTAGCATGGAATGGTACAATAACGAAAAAATGGTCCAACACAACGATTTGGATCTTTCGCAATGCATTCTCTCGATTCAAAACCAATCATTTCATGATCTTTGCATGGTTGGCCGCTAGTGAAAGCCTAATAATAAGCCTAATTAGCAATAAAATAATATAGGTTCATGTGAATTTCAAAAGAGTTTTGGAGATTTATATCGATAGTAGCCCTGAGGAAATTTTTGTAATTTTGAAATTTTGTAATTTATAATTTTATCTTAATATCAGTTAATTTATCAGTTAATTTTTCTTGCTCTTATGTGAAAGCAAGCTATTAACCCGATAATATTTGATAATTGAGGACAATTATATTGAAATAGCACTAATCGGTGGAGATGACATTCCAGTTAGAAATAATGAAGAGCGGAGATTACCTGACATTCACCTGCCCAAGATGACCAGATTTGGTTGTGATTATTCGGGGATTCAGTGGTGTTGTTTCGATTAACCATAGTTTTTTGTGTGGCACCGATTGTTTCCTCCAATATTCCTTCGAAAGGTAGAGGAGTAAAAGGAGTAATATTTAATTTATTGCGTTCAACTGGCTCTTTATCTAAAGAAAACTCATGAGTTCATATAGGTTAATTTTTTTTCTAGCAATTAGAACTTCTTTCTTTCTTTTAAGAGTACGCACTACTACTGGTTCGCTGCTCTGACTTGTTGTTACACTGAATATGCCAAGGAATCCCTTGGTGATAGAAGTACCGATGAATCGACAGAATCACTCGTATTTTTTAGACTCGTATATTTAATCCTGTCGCGATAAGAACCTCAGCGTCTCCTCTGTTTTTCTTCGCTAGGCGACACTGGTACATATAAGAGTCGGCACATTCGAACTCGTTTTTCGGTGGTGATATAATTTATTAAAAGTATTTCAATAATTAAACTCTTTTATTCAAAATTAAGATTCAAATAGTATAAGTGGTACCCAGATGAAGACTATGATTTGTATTAATATTATCCTTTGTACAAACATTGATTTCCATAAGTGCACCAAGACATAATCTTAGGTCATAACATTTCCTGTATCTCACTCTTTTTTCGCCAATTTTCTTGCATGGAGGCCATTCACTCCATTGTGAAAAATATTCATGCTGTTAAAAATCTTTTATTTATCTTTAAAAATTCACTCGCATTTGAGAATTTTGATAAAAATTTGATAAATTTGATAAGAAAATCGATGTTAAGAAATTTTTTTTAAAAATGGTGACAAATAAATAAAGGATGAACTTTTTTAAGATCCTCGGAATTTTTAGGTGATTTTTTATTTGGCTTTTGAACGACACCATAGGCTCGCGAATTTTGTTGCGCTATTGTTTGAGTTTGAGTCTCATTTGAAGTCTCAGCCTCAGATTCATCACCTTCATCACCGGAACGTATCGACGATGGTACTACCTCAAAAATATATATTTTGTTATATAAATATATGATGTATTTTGTTTAATTAAATATTTAACTGAAGAATATTGTCGTTTTTCAATGAATAATTTTCATAGGATTCATTTATTCATGAATTATAATTTTATGGAGATATTCAATTATTTTTTAGACTATCCAAGTTATTCGAGTAAATGGACCTAAGTTACTGGTTAAAATAAATTGGCTAATTATCTTAAACTTGGCTCATTAAATTTTGCCTTATCTAGAGAATATCCAAAAACGAAATAAAAATACTCTTATAGCATTAAGCATAGAGTTATGTTCATCGGCAATTTCCTCCTTATCATCGTTCATTTCGCTATTGTTGATATTGATATTGTCGAGTTCTTTATCATTTCGAATTTTCATTTCATATGGCTTTTCATGAGATTCCTGATGAATTATAGCTAAATAGCTTAATCAACTTCATGAGAATTTTTTATTTAAGCAATCAAGTAGAGCAGCGACAAGCGCCATATGCTTGTATATATTAATAACAACAAAATAAAGTATCAAATGAAAAGGAATTAGTAATTGTGATAAAAAACGGCAAAAGGAATGTAACCAAAAGCTAATAATATAAAGCCAAATAATATAAATAAAGGAGGATTATAAATTGTATCAAATCAAACTGAATTACTGATAATTGTTGTTAATTGGATGATAAAAGATTAAAGTTTCAAAGACTTCTCGCATAATTTAAAGCTTTTAAATAATATCATAGATGAAATTATTTAAAAATTATTTATTCTTTTTTTTAAAGGTAAGGTTGGTGCAGAAATTACGTCGTTCGGTGACTTATTCCAGTAATTAATAGTGCAAATAAAAAAGACATGCGTTCATAATTTACATTTATGCTACATTTATGCCTTAATAATTTTAATTCATAAGATCTTGTTGGACTCAAATTTATCCTAAAATCATAATAATTTTGAACAATCTAATTTGACATAACCATCTATAACTTTATATACGACGAATTGTCAATGAATTATATAAGTTATATAGAAATTATAACTGAAATTGGTACTAGGAGAGAGGTGAAGTACAATGTCTTTTTAGAGTTCTTCAATTCATTAACTTGATTTGCGACATCTGAGGGAATAACAAATTGCTTATATTATAATCAAGAAGAAGTCGAACGACGAACGCTTTGATATATTTTGATAAGAAAAATTTTTATTTTTAAACGAACGAAAAATAAAATTTAGTTTTCTTGAGGTTTTCTTTGATATATTCTGTAATTCAGGTCGAAATGAAGATTTTCATTCACGACTATGCTAAGATCTAAGATATTCAAGACTCGTCTCAATGATTTTATCAGTATAGAAGCATGGATTGTGGCTTCGAATTGTCCAATAAAATTTTATTTTCTTTAGGCTAAATAGGCTAAAGAAAGGAGGATTTAAATTTTGCCATTCGTGATTAGAAATAAAAATTCGTGTTCGATTAGTAAAAATTCGGTGATAATCCAGTGATAAAAATAATAATTTTAAAAATTTACCTTTTCATATTTTTTAGTTGTAATAATTCTCGGATGCGTTTTATATTTATTTTTTTGTTTGATATTATTTCTTGGCGAATCGCTTTTGATAATTTGCATTTTTAATTTTTTCAAATATTTTCCAGTCGTAATTATTTCATCTTTATTTTTTTGTTCATTCGCAATTTTTAATTTTGTTTCATCTTCGATTTGTAGATTTTTCGAATCGTTCACAACGTTATGTGATTGTACGATTTGATATTCTGAAATTTTTGTTGTTATCGTTGCTGTTGTTGTTGTTGCTGTTGCTATTTTCTCATCCTTAAGAATTTCCTCTTTTTCATTTCGATTCATTTGATAATCGTCATTTTCCTTTGCATTTTCATTCTCGTCATTTTCTATAGGAAAATCAGTTATCATTTCTTCGTTATGCAGATTATGCGTATTGAATTGCTCATCGAGATGATCTGCAAAAAATAACTATAAAAAAAAAAAATAAAATAATCTTATCTTTATTATCAGCAACTTCTTTTTACAACTTTTTTATTTGTTTGGCTGTGATTCTATTAGCTAAAAAAGATGAGAAATTTTTTTTTTTTAAGATTTCAATTCAAAAATTTAGTTCAATAATATATATCGCTAAGCCTTATTAAGCTTAGTAATGAATTACTAAACCTAGCTGAAAAGCGATTAGTACCAATTAAGATTTAAACCGACAAAGCCAAGAGAGAGAATTTTTAAACTCATATAATTAGTGATTTATGAGTAAAAATAGGAAAAAAAAAAGTGATTTATATTACTTTCAATTATAAGTTTAATGAGATTTATCGATAAGAATCAATCACTTTCGATTCTGATAAGATTTATTTGATAAGATATACAAGTTTGCGAGCTATATTAAATAGTTTATCACTAGGCTTAGCTTATTGAGTTGATACCAAATTCGGCATCAAAAATTGCTAAAAATATGTTATTGAAAGACTAACTGCTAGGTCATTTCGGCTATATCTGGGTTCATTTTAAATGACTGGTGTATTGGTGGCAAGTTCTTAGTAATAGGAAAAGTCCCACCCGAAAACTGAGGCTTGAATTCGAACCCGCCAATGCACCGCTCTTCGTTGGGCGGCTGTTTCGCCTAACGGAAAAAAAACGAAGGAGAATAGAAGAATAGCTCAGTATGTTGTTGATCAAATCAAAACACTAGTGCTGAGGTTCTATTACCCACAGAAGTAGACTTGTCCAAAATCCGAATAATACTCATCTTTACTTCTATCGCCAAAGGATTTCCTGGCATATTTGTCTAGTATGACAAAGCAGCGGAGTGAATCTAATCCAGTGATAGTGAGGGCTCTCAAAAAAAAAAAAAAAACAAAATGGTTCAAAAAATTTCTCTAATCAATTTATCAGTTTATCAATTTATCTATAATGTATAATCTTATAAGATTTTTGATAAATTTAATCATTTAACCTTTAATTGCTTCATATTTTCGTTGAAATTTCATTGATTCGGTGCAACCGTTTTGGAAATAAATCACTTTATCATTTTCCTCTTTTGCAAATGAATTTGGTTGTGTTGAAGCTGATTCGATATTTGTTATACATTCACCTTCTTCGTAAAAATACATTGCTGACTAAAAATTATTAATAATTCATAAAATTATTATAAATTATAAAATTATTTTAAATTGTAAGATTTTTTTTTTATTATTCAAATTTTAATAAATATTAAGTAAGAATATTGTCGAAGAACGTTTCGTTTTACGTTGATTAGGCAATCAACGTTCTTGGCCATCTATCGCAGGAATTGACACATATTTTGCTAAGTGATAAAAGGTTTCAAAAGCAAAGAAGACTAATCAAAACTGATATTGTATAATTAAGCGATTGTATAGATTTACGACATGAAATTCGTTAAGCCATTTTGGAATTTTTATTTTTTTTTTCATTTCATGAAATTTTGGCAATTTATTAAAAATTAAGTTTCCATTAAATATTATCAAATTAATCGTTTTCTTTTTTTTATTTAATATTTAATATGAATTTAGAAAAAAAAAAGAAAATAATAAATTATGCCACTTATTTTGCCAAAAATTTTTTATCAAAATCAAATTTTTTTAATGGAATCGCGAGAGTGATAAGAGAAATATGGATGAATATATACAAATGATAAATGATTGATACTTTGCATTCGAATTTTTCCATTAAACAATGCGTGACGCATTCAGCAAGATTTGCTGTTAGGGAAACATTTCTTGCAAAACCGATTAAAACTGATTGTTCGGCTCGTAAAAATTGAGTATCAGCGCATTCAACCGGGAGTTTCTCTGCATTTATTTATTTATTTTTATTAATTATTGATAGATAATAATTTAAATAATAGTTAAAAGAATGGAAAAAAATGATAAAATATAATAAAAATAATGAAAAATAATGAAATAATGAAATAAAAACAATAGAACAATAGAAAATAAAAATGAAATAAAAATAATAAGAAAATAATAAATAATAAAAGAAAAATAAAAAATAATAAAAACATCATGAAAATTTTTTTTTTTATAAGTGCTTCTTAATGTTAAGTGATAAATGATTATTTTTTGATTATCGCCTTATCATATCGATGAATTCTTCAAGATGGTTTTCATTAAAATTAATATATTTTATATAATAAATTAATTTTATTTGCAATTTTTATAAATCTTTTTTTTTTTAAATTTATAAAATATAATTTTATATGCATTATTTGGATTAATTTCTTTTCTGTCCTAAAAAAAAAAAGTTTCACGCCGTAAAAAATTGTACAAATTGTTTATTTTCTTTGATCGAACTAGAAATTTACAAATGCCCGTAGGATTCAATTTATTGTCGTATAATGTTCTTTTAGCCCAGTTTAAATAAATTCCACTATCATTCAGGTCAACCTAACTGACTTTATTCTCTCTTTTGACCTATAAATTTTCATTCGATCAAATAAAACAAACAGTAATATTGATTCTATTTTTAAATGTATAAATTTAGAATAGATAAAATAAATTTTTTTTATTGTTGGAAAAGTTTAAACTTAAAAAATATTTTAGAAATAATGGTTATAATTAAGTTTATTAAATAATTAAATTTATAACATTTAAAATATTATTGTTAATTTTCTATGAAAAATATTAAAATATATTGATAATTTTCTATGGAAAAATTAAATTATGCTTTATGATTATAATGAATAATTAATTTATTTAATAAGAATGATAATAAATAATTTTTATAATAACTATTTAATGATTTATAAATTTATGATAATGGCAATAATAATATAAAAATAATAAAAACAATAATTATGATGATAATGATATGGTGATAATATATTGATAATGGTATTTATCGCAGAGTTTATAGTCTGAAAATTTTATTGCTTCATGTACGAATCTTGTAACAGCATGCAGCCAATAAATAATAAAGAAAATGCATGCATTCTTAAATAAACTAAACTAACTAAATTTAAATAATTATGTGAATATTTTTATATTTTTTATTTTTTTATATTTTATATTATATTATATTTTTTCTAATTATTTTCTACGAGCACTATATAAAATATTTCAAAAAAAGAAAAGCTCACCATCAATGCAAAATTTTTCGAAATATCGATGTTCGGGAATATTTTCGATTTGTGAATCGCCTTCCGGAATACTTTTTGTCTGATGAATTAGGCATTTAAAAGTTGAATGATCATAAGTAAACGCGGAACATAAAATAAATCGTCCATTTTTGTCCTAAAAAGTTTTTTTTTTTTTTTTGAAATTTTATATTAATTTTCAATTTTCATGCAATTAATTTTTTATTTTTTATCAATAATTCAAAATTTTTTTATCAATCAATTTTATTTTCTTTTAATTCAAAATTATTAAATTTTAAATTTTTCAATAAAAATAATAAAAGACAAATTTCAATAAATCCAATTGGCACATAAAATTATAATTCGAATAAAAAGAAATATGTTTATTCATCAAATAATTATTGTAAAAATATTTGAAATTTGTTATCTGATAAGTTTTAATAATTTAGTGATAAGAAAATTGAATTACTCGATTTTTTCCACAAATTTTTGAACAATCATCTTCGCTAATATCTTCGTAAGTTAAAATAGCGCTTGCATCGAGTCGTGCATTATCGACAACAAAAAATGCATTAACACGATTCACACATAAAACTGCAAAAAATGAATTTATAAAATTCAGTTCATCAACATTATTCATAATTTTTCATTATTAATTATTATTATTATGAGAAATTATTTATATTTATATTTATTATTATTTATTTATATTTATTATTATTTATATTTATTATTTTAAAAAATTCATTTTTATCATTTTTATTTTTATCATTATTATAAAAAATTATTTTAAAAATAATTATTTGTTTTTATTTTTATTTATTATTATTTGTTTTTATTTGTTAAATTAAGTAAAGATTTTTAAATTAAAAAAACATTAAATCATCATAAATATTCATTAATAATGAAACTTTTTTAGTGATTTTATCAAAATTTTTTCAAACTCTTTTAAAAGAAGACAATTTGGATTTTTTTTTAAAAAAAAATTATATCATTTTTATTTTATTAATTTCGAATATATTTTTGAAAATAAATAAAAAATCCACAATTATTGATAATTTTAAAAATCCAAATGGTTCTGAAAATTTTTAGAAGGAACCATAATTTTATATAATTATAATTTTATATAATTTTATACAACTATGAATTGATTAAACTAACTAATTCATAGAAAAAATTTAATAAATAAAAAGAAAACAATTTTTTTGACAAATTTTAAAATATTTTATAATGAAAAATAAGAAGTAGCATTCTAATGCTAATATTTTATAATGCTAATATACTTAATATTTTCGCGAATATAATTGTTATAACAACTGAAAAATTTTTCAAAATAATCAAATGATGATTTTGATACGAAAAATTTAAAAATTTCAACGATGATTATACTAATGATTTTGATTATTATCAGTGATTATAATGATGTCAATGATTTACAATTATTTCGAATTATTGCATATTTCTATGGTTTTTTTTCATTAAATAAAAAAATAAATGAAAATATAAAAGCACTGATAAAGTTGAACATAATTATTGTTCTCAATGATATGATATGAAATTCATTGCAATTCAAGAGAATTGAAAAAAATTTTATTAAATAATTTTTGATAAATCAATTTTATTTTTTAACAAGGCAAATGGATGGCTAGCATTTTTTACATATTGTATAAGTATTTCGAAATATAGAAAAATTTTTAATGTTTCGGATATTCTATCTTATCAATCTATCCTTTCTATCTTATCAACTATATCAAAATCAAATTAAATACAAAGGAGTTTTCAGCTTTATTATTACTATTATTATTAATATTATTATTTTATCATTATTTATCATTATTTTGTTATTATCATTCTTACTTTATTCTTATTTTCATTATCATTATTATAGTTAATATTATTATTGTTAATTAGTTGGGTTTTTTACTATTTAGACTAAATGATTAGTCTAAATTATTTATAAAATAAAAATTTATAAAAATTTATATATAGGATTATAATTCCCATGGACCCTTTGAGAATCATCAAAAATTCGAAAAGATCCATTGAGATTAGTTTTACAGTTCAATTTAAACTCACACATTATCATCATTTACTTTTTCACTATTAATTGATAAATTCATTTAATAAAGATTAGTACATGAATAATTTGTCGAATGAAGAAGTAGAATGGGCTCAATGGAATGATGCTGAATTCAGAGCGCTAATGCCGAGGCTCTACTCTCCACAGGAATAAACCTATCCGGGTAATACTCATTTATAATTCTATCACCTTGGAACTCCTTGGCTTATTTATACAATATAACAAATCAGCGGAACCAGTAGTCGAACCAATAGTGGTGAGGATTCTTGATAAAAGAAGAAAATTTGTCAAATTTGTATGAACGCATGGATTTCCGATTTCTTTCTTATTTATATTTTTTATTTTTTCTTCTTTCAATATTTATATTTTATAATATAGAATGATTTTTTTACATTCCATATGTATTCAAAGGACTGAAAGAATCTTTTTTCAAAATTGGCTCTTCTGCTGAAATAATTGCGATAAATAAAAAACGCTAATTTGATAATCATAAATTCACGGCTGATTTTTCTTAAAAAAAAATTTTTAGAACTAAATTAGCCAAAACTTTTTTTAATAAAACTTCGCTCTAATATATAAATAAAAAAATCTTTAATAATAATAAATTAAAGGTATATCAAAATCGTTCATATAAAATCGTATGTATGGCAGAATTGCTCTCACTTGTTGCTCTCACTTCTCACGCAAAGGTTGTTCTACTCCAAACAGAAGTAAAGTTGTATTTCAAAAAAATCACGATGACTGGTGACTCACCTCAAATTCAATATCATCAAGTAATTCCGTAGTAAAATTTGCAAATTTGCCTTATATGGAGACTAGGATATCTTAGCGTGAACATAGATTTATGATGCTACTAACTTAATAACTAAGTATTATTAAATTTTGAATTGTAAACTTTTGAAATTTCAAAGTTTCAAAATCTTTGAAATATTATTGAATAAATGGATTAATGGATCTGCCTTTGACCACTCTTGTCTAAGGTTACATATTACGGATCCGTCGAGCAGATAAGATATCACATGATTGCATCCATCTTCGTTCCAATACCACTTGCATAAATATTATCACAGAGCGCCGCCTTCGCTGGTTAAAGCACATTCTCCGTCGTCCACCACAGGAGATGACGCATATTTCGTTATTTGCTAAACCGTGTGATGGTTGGCGTCAAAAGCGAGATGAGCCAATCAGGACGTGGACTGCTACGGTGAGAAAAGATTATGAACGTATAGATGGACCAGCAATAGATGGACTTAGACGATGGAAGAAAGAATGGCTTCCATCACTGTCGACGATGGCATCAGATCGCAACGCTTGGAAGCGTCTTATCCTTGTAGACGTTGGAGCCAGCCTAACCAATAATGGTGAAAGCTATTAGAAGAAGAAGAAATGGATTAATAGCAAAAATTTCTCTTTCTTCTTCTAAAGCAAATTTAAAAATCTTAAAATATTTCCAAAAACTAATTGTATTATTATTATAATAATAAAAAATTATAAATTATAAATAAATAATAAATATTATAAAATTAATGAATTGAAGCCAATGAAAAAAATTCCAAAAATTTTTCCAGTCATAAATTTGGATATTTGAAAAAAAAATTTGATAAATTTAAGGCTTAATTCATCGTTGATAGAAAGAGAAAAGCTAAAACAAAAAAATTTCAAGTCAGTTTTATGTGGATTTTCAGATAACAATTAGTAAAAAATAAGGATTTTCACGTTGAGATAGATATCATAAATATCCGGAAGACTATAATTAAATTCCGGAAAATAATGGATTTGAACAATTCAAAAGTATATTGATGATTTAAAAGTTTTTTTATTTATTAAATATTATTGCAATAATTATTAATTTTATTATTATTAATTAATAATGATCGATTCTTTTTCGAGAATAATTCGAAAAAAATCAATTTTTTCTAAAATTATAAATAAATATTATTAATGAAGAAATATGAAAAAAAAATTTCATTCAAATTTTCATCTTTTTTAAACATTATTTTAATACATTATTTTTAAACATTATTTATTTTAATTATATAAATGATAATATTAAATGATTTTTAAATAATTTTTAAATTATTATTAAATTATTGAGAGATAATTTGCCTTATTTCCCATTTAATATTTGTTGAATAATTTTTAAAATATATTTTAAATCTTCGAATAACTATATAAAACAATTCGGTAGTATGATTAGGATCGCATTAAATTCTTAATTATTGAAATAAGGAAATAATACCCACTCAAATTTTTTTATTTTTAACCAATAATTAATTTCAATCACCTTGAAAAATTTTTTCTCTAAAAGCCTAATTATGGTTATACACGTTCCGCTAGCTTATCAGACCAGGCGAATTTTTATCAGTGACTTAATTGGCGATAAATATACGCGTATCGCCAGCAATATCCACATTTTTTAAGATATTTGCTCCGGTTGAAAATCGAATCGGCGCTCACCTATAAAAATTTTATTCGGAACGATAGGGAATATTCTTTTACGATCTTCACTTGGTGATGCATGGTTTTCGTTTAAGATCATGCACAAAACTTGATGTGTAAAATTATTAGGACTTCGTCAAGAACTTTGATATTCTATTGTAATTGATCACTGTAATATGACATACTTTACCACTCAAATATTGTATAATATTAGAGAATTTTATAAAATTATTATAATAATTAATTATTATATAATTATGCTTTGATATATAAAAAAAAAATTATCAATAAAGAAAAAATAAGTAGTGTGAGAAAAAAAATAAAAGTAAAGAAAATTTGTATTCAAAAATTTATAATAATTAATTATTATAAATTAAAGATAAATTTATTAAAGATTACGATAAATGAAACAAAGTAATTATGTTAAGTATAGCAATGAATCGAGCGACTGAAATCACTCGATTACATTATCATTGATAAACAATCAAAATTTAGTTACAGAAGCAGTAATCAGTAACGATGAGCGTTGTTTCAAAAAAAAAATTTTGTAAGCTAAACTATCATTAATACAAAATGGATTTCAGAACAAATGATCACTGTATACTTTACTTTATCAATTTTATACTTTATCAATAATTATAATTAAAATAATTTTCGATAAATTATTTGAGAAAAAAATCCACCAAATTAGCAATTTTTTGAATGTGATTGAATAACTGAGAATGATCGAATAAAGCTGATAAAACTTATTAAATTATAAACTTTTATAAACTCGTTTTGAGATGATTTAATTAATTTAATATCAAGTGTAATACGAATCATCATATGATATGATATTGATATGATAACAAGTAAATTTTATAATATATTTTCGAATATATTAATGAAATAGCAAATTGCTAAATTATTTGTTATTAACTATGATAACGAGATGAAATAATAAAATTGGTAAAGATAATTATTTTGCAATGACAATTATTGATAATTATGATGACAAGATAAAAATGATAATTTATGGTAAGGACTATAATAGCAAAAATAAACAAAAAATACGAAAAAAAAAACTAAAAATAACTAAAATAAACAAACCTTCATTAATATTTGACGATGAATTATTCGTATTAACCAATGAAACTATTAAAATAGTTGAAAGAAATAAAAAATTAAAAATTTTCCAACTTATTGATGATGATAATATCATTAGAAACTGGCAAGGCCTTAATTCTATCTAAATGGTATGAATTTGTTTTATCTACTAAATCTAATATTCTAGGTCATCACCTAAATTCTCGCGAATCACTTCTTCTCATTTACAAATGCAGAATTTTTCGATATTTTCACTTAATTTTATTTCTAAATTTATCCACAAACCAATTTTCTATCATTAAAAAATAATGCGAATTAATCGAATTTATTTTTTCCTTTATTCCTTATTTATTCCTTTCTTCCTTCTATTACTTATAAATTCCTTTTTTTTCATTCTATAATATTTTGGCTATAATTTTTAATAATGGGAAATTTTTTTGCAGATGTTTTTTTAACAGTTTAACAATTAGCATATTTTTTACTATTTTTCGCCTAATATACTATGTTGAATGTTGAGGAAAAAAATAGAAGTAAAAAAGTTAATTATTTAGTTCTCGTGCAGCAGAGCGTATTAAAAATATATTAGAGTATTAAATTATTATATTATAAATATAATAGGAGAATTATGGATTGAACAATTCAGTATGGCTCAGCTGGTTATTGCTCGTATTTCAGTACCCCAATACTGGGGTTCAAATTCAGGTAGACTTATCTTCCAAAAAAACTTGGCAATAATTAACGATAAATTTGTATTTCTATCGCTAAATGACAATATTTATCTGATCCGACAAGTCAATTGAGCGAACTTAATCAAAAATCATTTTCAAGTTCCATAAAGAGAAAAAAATTCACTATATGTTCCAATTCACTATATTCTAGATAATATATTTATTTATCATTTTCCTTTCAGATAAAAAAAAAATAATTTAAAAATTTTTTTAATATTTTGTTTTATTTTTGCTACCATTCATAATTGAAGAGAATTTCCTTTAATTGCCAAAATGTTTCAATAAAAATTTGTAAATATTTGTCGAGTCTTTGAATACACGAAACAATCCAGTGATATACGGAGTTGTTGAAAAAAAAAAAGTGGCACAATTCAATTGGTAATAGTTCGAGCTGTTCGAAAAAAGACGAATTGCAATAATCTAAACAAAACTGAAATTTTCTTAAAAATTTTCTTAAAAATTTTGGATTTTTTGAATTTTTATGAAATAATTGAACCGATAAATGTAAAGACCAATATTTTAAATGAAGTGTAAACGTGTCAATATTTTTAAAAAATATTTCTATTTATTTATCTATTTTTCAAAAATTCATAATTTTATTCCAATTCAAAATAAGTTATAAAAAAAATGGCTTAATGGTACTTCGGTGAAAATATGAGCTTCTCGATTCTTATTTCTCGAAGGGCAAAATTATTGTTTTTAATTAAATTTTTTAACGGCATATTTTTCAACCTCTATCAATTCACTGCTAGTTTGGTTTATTCCATTGGTGGACTAGGATATGACTTTTTTTCCGATATTGTTCTTTGGACCAGCACTAAGCGCCTATACTGCTAGGTTGACTATGCGTTCAAAACTTTCTCTATCTCTGTCAGTCTAGATCTTAATTCTTCTATTTTTTTTAAAGAGTCTTCATAATTACTGGTTAAATTAGATCTTCGAGCTCCGCTGGTTTGCCGCACCGGACAAATACGCCACGAATTCCTTGAGGATAGAAGTAAAAGTGAGTCGCTAGCATCATTGGGATTTTTTGATAGCTCTACTCCTGTGGTGATTCTCTTATTACCAGGTTTTTAATACCATCCATCACAATGCCTATCGAGATCTGCACCAGTTTATATGACAAGGAATATGATCGAACAATTTGGCTCTTTGTATTCTTAATGCAGGATAGAATGGTGAATACAGTAACCATTTTATCTATTTAGCAAGCAAAATGCATCTTTGATAAGAATGGCTAATGGCAGATAGCTTTCTAAAAATCACTCTATGATGACCAAATTTAGCAGTCCTTTAGTGGATTTATGCGTCTTTAGCCAGATAGATGCACCGGATAGATATAAAGTTTCGTTGTTTCGCCTAATGAAAGAAGGCAGTTCATTGCAGCTATTTGAACTGAAATTTTATTTTTCTCTCAGCTATTAGGTTTGAGCATAGATTCAATCTGATTCTAAATGCATTGACATCTAAAATTTGGCATTTCTTGGACCGCTAATGGACCTAATACCTAATATTGTCAACATTTAGCTTAGCCTAGTGTATATAGCAATTTTCTTTACGAAACTGACAACCAGAAGGATTTCATTAGCGAATTTCGATATGCTCTGGATTTATTTGTATATCTCTTGAATTAGGCAAGCAATATCCATAGCGCAATTTGTTGCATAGTTGAAAATAATTATGAAAAGAAGCGCAACCTTGGCGCACATCAGTATACAAATATTGTATTTATTTTCCATAAATACATATCTATGCAAATAAAATACTTTGGTAACACTTTTTGACTATAAGCCTTTTCTCTGGAGCACCAACGTACTACATGATTAACCGGAATCTCGTACTGGCGATTGAAGCAGCCGCCAAGATGAAAAGCAGCAAACTATGATTACCTGTACGGAATTAAAGCCCAATATCCCATGTCAATATGAAAATTCGGTCACTAAGATTGCTCTCAATGCAGCTTATTAGGACTCTACTGTTACTCTTTTATTTCTACTATCATATATTTTTTATTTCCATGAAAATGGCCAATGAAAATAAAGTAAAAATCGAGATTTGCATCAGAGAAACGATGGACGATTAAGAACAATAATTTAGGGCGGAGAGGGGGTAACAATATTTATTACAATATTATAAAATAATAATTACTGATATTAATATAAAAAAAACACAAATAATGCTGGCGACCCACTTATATTTCAGATGGCTGAACTCCCTAGTACAGCCATCGGAGCTAGTCTAACCAGTAATGGTGAGTACCAACAGCCCTTTTTTACTATTATTATTTCTAAGATCGATATGTATGTACGTATCGCAAGTACCAGTCGGTTAAGGAAACCATTGGAATGCACCAGAAGGAAACCAGCGCTGTTCCAAAGTTGTTTGATGCTTTCGCTATACAGTTATATTGCAATACATATTACAAAATATTATTAATATAATAGCATAATTATAATAGATCACAAGGTATATGCTTTTAGTCTGAATAATATTACATAAAACCGGGTGATGCTGGCGACTCACCTAACTCACTATTTCTATCGCCAAGGGACTCCCTAGCATATTGATTCAATATTACATAAAATGAAGTGATCAGGTTCCTGGAGAACTTTATGGATCGTTTAACCATGATTAATTCGCGCGAAAAAGTTCATAATGAGAAAATAGCAAAAGATTTTAAACTATACATTAGGCTAATATAATGAGGGTTTAGTTGTAAGCTATGAAATCTATGCATAACTTGAAGAATTTTTATCAAGGATTTTTTGCTTATCAATGAGAAAATCGTTACTATTGCTTGTTCTGATTAGTAAACTAATTAGAGAAATGAGTGATAATATTATTTATAACAAATAATTTACAAAAAAAATTATATATAAATTATATATATAAAGGAAAAAAAAAAATTAGACTTTTATCACCAAAATTTTATTGCTCATTTACAATTCATTTTTTCTTTGCATTTCATATCTCTGATATTTACAATACATGAATAATTTTTATTAAAAATTAAATTCAGAATTAAAAATGAAATACAAATATAACTAAGCCTAAATAATCATATGAGATAAATATCGTTTTCGACAAATTTCATCGCTATAATTGATAAAATATGCTCGTATATGTCCAAGATATGAGCTTATTATCATTGGTAGATACCTAAAAAGAAAAATAAAATCAGCCAAAGCATCCAAATTTTCATATAGATTAACAAATTTGCAAATCAACCAATCGAGGAAGTCGTTTCACGAGCTTGTCGGACTAGATAAATATGTGATAGAGTTCCTTAGCGATAGGAAATACAAGTGAGCTGCCAGTATTATAAAGGTTTTTGAAAGATTAGTTTAGTCTTGCAAGAAATATAATCGTAGCATTGGGGCTCCAAGTTGAACAACAACTGAGCTGTTCCATTCTCTTTTGTTTTTTCCATTAGGCGACATTTAGGCCCAATACTCCAACCGAATTCAAACCTAAGCCTTGATTTTTGTGAGGCTTTTTGCCCTACCATTGACCCATTGACATATCAATTAGTCGTCTAATAAAGGTCTAATTCTCAAAAATAAATAAAAATAAATAAAAAAAAAACAACTTTTTTTCGATAAGAAAATGTAGAAGTATGTCAAAATAGACGGCAGGTTGCTGCGAAGGCGAATGAATTTCAACATTGAACTGACAAACGATAAAACCACTTGCATCAAGCTTGCCATTCTTGAAAAAGATCGGAAGAAAATCGTACTAAAATCCGAGATTTTAATCAAAATTAAATATCATATTGTTATTATAGAATTATTATAAACTAAGAATATTATAACGAACTTCAGCAAATTCGATATCAATTAGCAAAACGTCGACTATTTTTTTAACTTTTACGTATTCACGTAAAAATTCAACAAATGGCACGTATTTAGTTTTAACCATTTCCGTATTTCGTAAACCTTGTCCTTAACGAAATATTTTAAATCAAAATAAAAATTTATTAGATAAAAATAAGTTTAGGAAAAACGATAAAAAACATGGCGTATACAGAAACAACTAAAAAGGGATTGAGCGAACGTAACGGATTTTAAGGAATACGTATCAAGGAATATGCCAGGATTTGAAGGCAATCCGTCTAATCGTCCATAAGATCGTTTTCAATTGATAAATAATAAATAAATCTATGAGTAATAAAATGAAAAAATTACGAGCAACGACAACACCGTCCCATGTTTGCGAATAACTACCAACAGTTACTTTATGAAATTTTCCAATTGGAGCATAATCTATAGCATTAGTTTCACCAGGATCGGCACCATGAAATTGGCATGTTGATGGAAATTTAGTCTTCATTTTTTCCTCTGCAGCCACATCTCCACCAACGCCTAATGTCACTATATTGCATTCTTCACTCTGAAAAAAAAAAAAAAAACAATTATTAATATATAATAAAATTGGTTCCATTTGTTCAAAAGATTATTCAACATTTATCACAGATAGGTTCAATCCGCTGCCTTATCAGAGCAGACAAATTTAACTAGGAAATTTTATCATTTCATGATAGAAATACAATTGGATCGCCAACCAGCTAGTACCTAGGTTTTTTTGAAATTTTTTTTCTTCTGCCAGCATCGACCCTATGAAATGAGACCGACAACGCAAACCATTTATGTATACATATTTATATAAAAATTTTTATTCCAGATTTTAAAATATTCTATTTGATCGCTGCATATTATATAGGTTTATAATAGACCTTCCTCATAAAATTTCATTCATAAAATTAATGAAATAATAAGAAAATAAATTTCCTAACAATAAAGAAAGATCTGACTTGTAAATATTCTCACCATTGGTACTAGCCAATTGGTACCAATTAATTTAAAATAAGAAGGTTCACGCTTCTAGAAAAAGAATTCAATAGCAATTCAATAGATAGATAAATTTTTTAATAAAAACGATATTAAATAAATTTAGAGCAATTTAAATTATAATAATTTAACCTCCGTATAATTTTTCATTAATGCAGCGTATTTAATTTCATCGTAATTCGGAAAAGGTTCCAATTTTAAAAAATTTATTTCAAAAATTTTCTCTTTACATATTTTTGATATATTTTCGGAAGAATGCCAAGACTGAAAAATTATTAGAATTATTTCAACTCATCTCAGAAATGTGCTAAATGATAAATGCTAAGATGATAATGATAAATGATTAGGTGATAATGATAAATGATTAGATGATAAATTTTTTTGGATAAAAATTATTATAAAAAATTTCAAGTAAACGTTTCATTTTCACAATGATTTTCACTATATTGGCAATGATGAAAAATTCCTCAAATAGAAAATGGAAAAATTTAATGAAAATGAAAATTTTCATGCGGTGTATTGCTTTAACAAAGTTCAAACATTGTGGCGCTAATCTCTGCTTTTTGAAATGAAACGAATAAATTCCAATAGAATTAGAATTAAATTGAATTCTATCTAATTCTAGCTCTCAGGTAATTTTTTGGCAAAACAGCCTCGCAATCCAGCAATTAGTTGAGAAAGCGAAAACTGAAACGAGAATTTGCTAGAGGAAGAAAAAAAAAAAAACTGACCGTAAGTAAAGGTCGCGCAAATAGTTCGGTTAGGAAACACTTTCGATATTGTTCAAAAACTGTTTGAGCTGGATTATTGAGATAATGTTTCACAATTAAGCCATTTATATAATTCGACATAATTGATAAATCTTCCTTACATTTTATATGCTCATACTAAAACTAATCCATTGTTATCGATTATTCTCAATCTCGGATTCTCTATTAGTGCTATGCGAGAATGGAGTAAGGCAGACAAACTTTCAGAGGTGAGGTTCTCGTTCGAGTACTCTCATTACATATATATATATACATAGGCAAATTAAGGTCTATTCCCCATTGGGAAAAACTTGTTGGAAAAATTCGAGTGATGCTGACGACTCACATCTACCACTATCGACAATCAATGCACTATTTGGAATATTCGTTCAACGTAGGGAGTCAGCGGAACGGACTTAGCTAAGTAATGGTGACCCTTCAAGAAGAAAGCATAACAGATAAAAGCTAAAGGCTTAAACTCATTCTACAGTACCCAAGACAAATATTCTTGCGTATTTATCATTTTAAGCCTATAGTTTTCGAATCCATAATTCTCTCATTTTATCCATAATAACTTAATAAGAAAATATTTAAGGCAGTTGGATATATAGTAAATCTTATGAAGTAAAAATTATTCGAATTATTTTATTTAAAAAAATTTTTTTTTGAAAAATCTTATAAATTATACATTTTCACCCGTCGTTCTCGATGTTATCATCATCATAAATAAAATGAGAAATATAAAGATGAATATATTGAATATAAAGGCTTTATAGCCAGTAAGCATTCGCGTTGTATGAAGTATTATCGAGGAATTTAAAAATTTAATCATTTGAAATTTATCACCGAATATATTCGTTGAATACGACGTATTTATTTAGTTCTATAAAAGTTTCACAAATAATCCTTTTAAAAGTATAAAAAAAACAAGAACGACATGAAGAAGGAATATGAAAAGCTGGAAAAATACAAAGGGCTGAAAGAGAAACTAAAAAAAAGATGTGGGAAATAAAGATCAAAGTAATTTCAATGATAATTTCAATGATAATTTCAGTGATAAGCAGTTGGAACTGTAATTCATGAACTAGAAAAGTAGCTTTAGTAGAATCCAGGAGCAATATCAGAGATCTCTATCCAGAACAGGGTACTATTAGGAATATTTACTGCGTGGATACTTTCAACCTTCCAGATCTCTGGTAGAAAGCTAAGAAGTTGAGGATGATCATAATCATCCACAATGGCTGAGAAAAAATTTTTTTTATAGCAAGAAAGCGAAATAGCTCAATAAGGTGACAATTTTACTCCTCCATAATTTGTCCTTTAAAAAAATTCGAGATCAATTTTGCTATTTTGGGCAACTCTATATTGCCAAATGATTACCCGCGCAAAATTTATTTGATATGATAAACCAGCAGAATGAGTATAATCAGAAATAGTAAGCTCTTTAGCTAAAATAATGATAAAATGATAATGATAAAAAGTGTTAGATCGCCCATTAACAATTAGTCAAACTATATCAGTTATAATTAACTCAGATATTGAGTTATTCATTTAAAAACTTCCTTATCAAATGTTACGATCTCTATTTGAATTTATTTTATTGTTTATCAATTGCAGCGAAAGGTTTACAATGGAATCATTTTCTTAAGTGATAATTTCACTAAAAGAATGTCCTAATTTTATTGAAAATTTGATATATCTGCTGATATCAAATGATCGTATCATTTTATTTGAAGATTGATTTAAAAATAGGTTGATTTTAAAATTTTGAAATTTTATTTTTTATTTAAATTTAGAAAAAAAAATTTAGAAAAAAAATTTAGAAAATTTTAAATATTTTCTAAATTTATATATATTAAATATTTAAATATTATATTGTAGTATCGAATTCTCTTTTAAATATTTTCTATTTTAAATTTTAAATATTTCCTAAATTCATATGTATTAAATATTTAAATATTGTATTAGAGTATCGAATTCTCTTTTAATTTTATTTAATTTTAAATTTTAAATTCTTAAATTTAAAAAATAAAATTTAATTTTTTTCTTGGTTTTCGCTTTTTTCTATATTCCAAGAATTCAATATGAATTCAATATGGTGAAAGGACGATTAAATTAAAATGGTGCAAGGTTTCAAATCAAGATAACTGCTCATAAATTGTTACGGAAGACAAGCAAGTATTAGAACGCTCGGTTTATATGCGGCAAAGCCTAGGCCGATGGAAATTTGGAAACTGCATGGAGGATCAAAATCAAAATAAAACGAACGCTTCACTCGGGAATAAATATATTACTCCGTTGTTATGTGGAGATCACTTGCCTATTTTTTTTGCATTTCCCACTATTCTGTTCATAATATATGTATTCTCCTGGAAGACAAAAAGAAGCTCTTAGATAATTAATGTCTAGAATGCCTATCGAATGGACAGAATCACATAGGATTATCCGATTAACTAAGAACTTCGTACGACACCGTTTAGGTGACATTCTTCATTAGGAAACGAAGCACATATCGCTTCCTACTACACCTTTTGACAGGAGCAGGACGAATAAAAGGCAGCCTAGGCAGACATATGGGCTTAGATGTTGGAAAGGAAGTGCCTCTTTTTATTTTCAGACATGGTTTGGTTTGGAAACACCTAATTCTTACAGTAAGTGGAACCATCTTAACCAATAATGACATTAACAGCTATTAAAAAGGAATATGCTGTAAAGAATATTGAATATATTTTTATTTAATTATAAATTAATAAATAATATTTACGACTAGCCAAAATTCAGTGGCTAAAGGCCGCTCTTTATTTTATTTTCATTTAATACCATATGAACCTGAAAAAAAAAACTGAGAAAACTATCAAAATCATTTATAAATAATTGTTTTATTGAGAATACTTGAAAAAGATACCAAAGAAGATGTAATACAGTCATGTCATTTAAAAATTTATAACACTTTTTGAGATTCAAAAAAAACGATCTAATATTTAAGAGATTTTCACCATAAATTAAGTTCAGAGATATATGAAAAAAGATAAATTTTGGTTTATAGGCCTTACTCATCTTATTTAATGAAGCCTAAAAGTAAGCCATAAATAGTAGGCAGCTTTAGAAGAAAATTAAAAGATCGATAAAACTCAGGCGCTTACCAAATCTTTCTCACTATTACAGTTTCAAGTATGGCATAAAATTTTACAGTTTAAGGATGCAAGCTTAATTTCTCCAAACGAATATATAAAAAATTCTTGCAAGAGAGGAAAAATTTAAAAATTATATTATTTTTCATCTTATCTTTATAAAAAGGTTGCAAAGTATAAAGATAATATATTGAATGTATATTGAATGAAAATCAAATGTGATCAGTGCAGGGGAAATCAATTCTTAGGTAAATATAAATAGATGTAACATTTTTCTTCAAGATATTCTCGAGTCTTCTTTTGGCGTTGCTTTTATAAGGCGCACTTCTGATTTTGGCCTATCATTATTGTCTACATCGACGAGTCCGATTTTTTGAACAACCTAGATTTTGCAGCTTTTAAAAAACAATTATCAGAATAATGATAATATAATAATGATGAAAATAAAAAAAATCACCTTCATTCCTGCAGCAACACGCCCAAATATTGTATGTTTACCATCTAAATGTTGAGTGGGCCCCAAAGTAATGAAAAATTGTGAACCATTTGTATTTGGACCTGCATTAGCCATTGAAATGATTCCTGCACCAGTATGTTTTAAATTATCATCTATTTCATCTGGGAAACGGTCACCATAAATCGAAGCGCCACCTTTTCCTAAAGGAAAAGTTCAAATATTGAAAATCTCGGAAAATCTCGTTACCAAGATGGATTATTATCTTCTTGCTACTGAGATGTAAAAATAATGATAAAAATGATAAAAATTCTATTTCATAAATTACTGTTGGAAATAAATTTATTGAATTTAGATTCTATAAAGTTAAAAATAAAATCATCTGATTAAACTTAAATTTTAACAAAATTAAATTTTAAATATTAAATTTGATTCTGATTTATTCACTTATAAAATATTATTTGACTTAGATTCCATCAAAATATTTTTGCTTTAATGCTAGAAGTGGTATAAATGGAATAAAATTTGCAAATTTGCAAAATTTTTATTTATTTTTTTTCCGTTTGCATCTTGTTTATTAATATAAAGCTAATGGCTATTAATCTATAAAAAAATCTGAGAAGAAGCCGTATTTTCCATAGCTTCAAAATTCGCGACAAAAATGGAATGAATCCAAATAATACGAAAGAAATGTAAAAAATGGGCAGAAAATAAAATTACCTGTTCCAGTTGGATCACCTCCTTGAATAATAAAATCTGCAATAATCCTATGAAAAATCGTTCCATTATAATAACCTCGGCGAGCTAATTCAGCAAAATTTCGACATGTCTTCGGCGCATGCTTCCAATACAATTCAATTATTATATTTCCCATGCTAAAATTTATAAAATTTAAAATAAATTATAAATTTTCGATAACTTAGACTTACGCTTGAATAAAACATAATAATAGAACATAATAATAAATAATAAAACAATAAAATATCGAATGGACTTTTCTCCTTTATAAGCAAGCGTAAACTATTTTTCATAGGCTTTAGGTTGATACCGAATTAGACAAATTTTGCTAAAGAAAACTTATTTCGCAAGAAAAAAAATAGACAAACAACACCCGAATTTTGTCAGGTTTAGTGTTTTGTGGAACCGCAACATTGCTGCGAATGAACAGAAAATAACCATCATAGAAAAAAGATATGCGAAAAAAACTTTCAGTTTTTAATTTTATTAACGAAAAAGGCCAAAAGGGCGTGTAAAAATTAAAAATTAATAAAAATAAAAATATAAAAATTTACCTCGTTTCCAGTGCAACAAATGGCGGTTGATTTGATACCGTAGGCATTTTACTGATTAAATATTTATCACAAATAGAAATTAACGAAATATTTTTACTGCAAACAAAAATTCTAAAAAACACTGAATTAAGCAATAAAAGTAATATTGCATTATACATATCCGATATAATATTTCAGCCACAACAAGGATAAGATATGGAGCCTAACCAGAAGCCTTAATCCGGACAAGCCAACATATTTTATAAGTGAACAGCCAAGAAAACCAGCAGCCAATCTAGTAGGGCACCGAATTTAGAATTTAAAAACCCCAATCTAATATTCTAATTCAGCTAAATTAAAAATTGCAAAAAAAAAAAATACTATAAAAAAATATTTTAACAAAAAACAACAAATAAAAAAATTATAGTAAAAATATAACAAATAAAATAAAATATTTAAAATATGACAAAATTTTATAAAAATTTTTACTAAAATAAAATTATTAAATAATAAAATATTAAATTGTAAAATTATATAATAATAAAATAAACTTAATAAAAAAATTTAATTATAAAAAATAATTAAAAATAATTTTAGAATAAAATAAAAACTAAAGGCAGAAGAGAAATCGATTTATGAATATAAAAACAAAAATAAATAATCGCAAACTCTCCTTACTTGTAAACAAATTTTAAAATTCCCGCATATTTTTTTCTGCGTCCTAAAATGACTTTCTAATTACCGTAAATATTTCCGAGCCAAATTTTATTGTCCATGACTTGTTTTTGTCGTCATTGGAAGTGTTTATGTGGAAGTGTAGCTGTGTGTATGTATTTACGTGTGGATGTATGTGTGTGTTTGTGTGTGGCTATGGCTGTGGCTTTTCAGCGTTTATATATTTATTTATATATATTTATTGCTAAATTAATAATATAATTAAATAATATTTATTGGAATTCTTTTTTTTTTTATTGCTTAATTAATTTTATTGTTTAAAATTTAATTACGTAAACTTTTAATTGTACTTTTTTAAATTAATTTTTATTGGAATTTTATTTATTCTTTTTTTTGAAATTTTTTTTAATTTATTTTTTCCGTTCTATTCGTTTTTTATCTTTTTTTAATTTTTTACAAATTTTTCGCTAATTGTCGGTAATTATTATTAAATAGCGAATGCAAAAGCTATTATTTTTATAATTGATGGAAATTGAAAAAAAAAGATGAAAAAAGGGTCTGAACTTTTCGTATTGAATTTATCAATATCAGTTATCAATTATCAGTTATCAGTTATCTGATATTATTTTATATAAATAAATATAGAGAGAAGAAATTGATAAATGAGCATTAACTATTCATATTTAAAGGAGTGCTTATTTGCTAAAATTGTGAATCAGTAAAGGATCAGTAATTCAAAATAAAAATAAGGCATATAAATCAAGAATAAGTCACAAGTTACAAGAATCATTTATAATCTTTGACTTATCGTAGTGAATTTATCAATATCAATTATCAATCATTCAATATCATTTCATAAAAAAAAGAGAAAATTGATAAGAGAGCATTAACTATTCAAATTTAATCTTAATGAAAAAGACGAATAAAGTGTGGTGGAGGCGTGAACGATGAGCCAATCTCAAAAGTTATGTTATTTTAATTTCGCTTCAACCATATAGATTAAACTAATCAAATAATTGTTTAATTTTATGGAAATTTTCCTTATACGCTTAAATATTGAATGAAATTAATGAATTTTTGATGATATTTAAATGGATTAAATGGGAATTTTTCATGAAATGGAAATTATATATTTATCATTTATCATTTATGTTTATAATTTTATATATTACATGTATTTACAGATTATTTATCAGTTGATTTTTTTTTATGAACTAAATTTAGTGATAATATCAAAACCGGATGAAACGTTTCTTTTTTTTTTTTTTTGACATTTTAAAGTGTTTCATTCGAATTCGATTTTGATATACATTCTGATCTCATCATTCCGTAACAAATGTGCTCATATAATTTTTTTTTTCTCTTTTCAGATAATCATCTTATTGTTATTTTAATGGTATTTTTTTGCAACATTTGAACAATAATCGATTTAATTTAATATTTTTAAAAAGTAATTAATTATTCATTTTTTTTAAATTTTTAAATTAATTTATTAATAAAAATATTTGTTTATGTAAATTTAATGAAATTTGAATATTTGAAATTTTTTTTTCTCATTGAAATATTTTTTATTTATAATATTTATATATTTATTATGTAGATATTTATAATTTTTGATTTAATTTAATTTAATTTAATTTTCAATTTTAATCTATCTAAGTCGTTCAAGTACAATTGATTTAACTTGCGTGTGTCAAAAATAAATCATTGAAATTATTTTAGGAAATTCGCAAAGATTTCGTACATTTAGAATTTTTTTGGGAATTTTATTAAAATTAAATTGAATCAATTTTGCTAATCTAATTATTACTTATTTAGCATTCAGTTAATTTATTAATTATACATTTTTTTCCTTTTTTTCAGTTTTTCGATATTTTAATTTTGACAGTCGACAATATGAGGAATTATTAGCAAATCTGTGTTATTGTTATATTTTATTTTATGCTGTCGAGGTAAGTATATTGATTTCATTAATGCTGAGGATTTGGAAAAATTCTACCCATTTTTTTTTTTGTGGCATTTTTTGATACTTTGCAGGTTATTTAAAGAATCTGAAGAATGTGAAAAGTTCATGCATAAATGTGGTCAGTAAGATGAGCAAACATTGTTTTGGAATATGTGAACTTTCCAAGAAAATTTGTTATACAAGAAAATTTATAGAACACGTTTTGTTAATTTTATTTTTATATTCCATTAGAAGAATAAATAATGGAAATGAAAAATTTATGGGAATTAACGAAATTTTTAAAAAGCAATTTGATTAATTTAAATGTTTTTCAGATATTCAATTGTTAAACCAGTCTGTCATAAAATTAATAAAAAATATAAGCAAGACGATGATAAATCAGATTCATCAAATGACAAGGAAATTATGTCCAGGTATTGTTAAATTTCTCGGTCGATTGTTTTATATAAAAATTCAAATTTCCGTTTTTCTTCAGAGATTATTTTTGTATTGTTCATGGTTGAAATAATTTGTATGATTTTAGATTATTAAACAATGAAATGAAAGAGGACGAGGATTTGCCTGAGCTGAAGGGTTTACAGGTATTTTTCAAATATATCTTTGTTTTATTCGTTTGTGAGGTATTTAGTTCATTAGTTATTCAGGATAGTTTATCGCACTATTTTACCCCGAGTAATCGGCGTCGTTCTCGAGTAGCTCAATCTTCTTTTTCTCTGGAAAAATTTAATGCAGAAGCTCGTTCTACTAGTCGTGGTAAATCTGCTTCTACGCATAACGTATGCTTTTTCCTTACTTTTGATTTTTTCATTGGTCCATGATACGTATATTAAACATTCTCTATTAAACATTTTATGTAGGAAACTGAGGATGATGAAGAAAAGCGACGACCTTCCATTTCTTTGCAAGAAAGAAAAATACGTAGAAAATTGCGGAAAGCGAATCTTTTTCAGTCCACTTCTATAAAGCAGTCTGACCTCAAGACTATGGTTTATTATTTTAATAATAGTTAATGACAATGACAGTTAGCAGTTAATAACAATTTATTATTTTTTACTTTTGTCAATAATGATTTACATATATCTTTCAGGAGAGGCTTACGGTGATTGTAGGTGAAAATCAAGAGGCCAACTCATGTTCATCAAGCCAAGGTCAAGGGACATGGAAAACAGGTATGATTTGTTTTTTGTCCATCTCTCTTATATTTTTTAATTTTTCATAATTTTATGGCATTTTTGAATTTTATTTTTTTATATTTTTAAATATTGAATATTTATAAATATTCTTTATTTCTTCTTTGCTAATCATTTTATCATATCTATTCTGAATATGACTTCAATGTTTTAGAAATGTCATCTTCACATCGTCGAACTGATAATTTATCAGATTCACTTTCACCTTTTTTTTCTTGTAGCAGTGAAAAAAGGCGCACGTTTTCAAAGGTTAAATATAATTCTAAATATAATTTTTACATTTTGTTTTATTAAATTTAATGAAATATTCTGGTTGAATAATTAATGACTTATAATATTGGTAATAACTTGCCTGTTTTATTTAATAATAGCCATATTTAAGGGTGAATATGCACAGTTATCTGGAATTCGTCAAAGAAAGAGAAGTGGAGATAGTACTTCTACACAAGGTCTGTTGCTGTTTTTTTTCTGTGGATATTTCCATACATTACTGAATTTATTGTTGTTTGCATGAATATTTATCATTATTCACTTATTATTCATAAATGGATAATTTTCGAGTAAGGCGAAATCAAACATTACATATTTTATTTTATTTTTTTCTGGAAATGAAATGTAATTTCTAGAACAAGGATCCCCAGTTCAGAAGAATTCTAATTTGTCAAATTCTAAAACAGTGGGTACTGCAGTGCTTCAACCTCATGTTTCCTCGATTCAAAAGCCTGATTTCAGTAGCCCTACTTTTCATTCAGTTCATGTTAGAAAGAGGTAATTTTATTGTTTTTCTCTTATTTCTTAGATCTTTTTTTATTTTTTTTTAGTATTTATATGTCCTATTTGGTAAAATTTTTTCACTTTTTGCAGAAGAGGTGGCGGCAAACATGGGAGAATATTTTCTCGAGATAATTCAAAGAATAAATCGCAAAATGCATTGCGTTGTAATCAAGATAGCAATTCTTTAATGCTGAGCCGTCGCAATACTATGAATTCAACTTCTTCAGCAGTTTTTAATGAGAACGGTCAAGTAGGGAAAATGAATTTGTAAACTATCAATTATTTAAATGAATCATACATTCCATCTTGAATAAAATTCAATTTAGGACTCAAAGGAAGATGTAAAGAGTAGCATACGTCTCCACGCATCGGCCGCAGTAAGCCTGTCTCACTCAAATATAAATTCAGTTTTACCTGGTCATAAAGAAACGAATTCTTGTTGTACCAAGTCCATTTCAGACAATGCTTTAATGGAATCGCTTAACAAAGGGTTATTCATTATCGAATGATTTTCCAAAAGATGTTTCGTAGAATATAAAATACTTTGAGTTTCCTAATTGTATATTGTTATTACGATGTTAAGTTTCATTATTTCAATATATTTAAGGCATAGGATTCTGAATTTTTAGATTTTTGTAGATTTTTTTTTAGATTTTTAGATTTATAGATTTTTATATATAATTTTTAGATTTTTAGATTTTTACACGTTGCAGCATTATAGTATATAATGCGTTAATTGTGCATTTCAAAGTTATTTTTAACAGCTTTTAGTAATTTAAGAAATTTATTATTTCTTTGATTTGATTCAGAGATCTAGTTCCATGTTACAGGTTTTGAACCTCAATAAATACCATTTTCGTTGGAATGTTGGAATTATTTTTTTGTAGCTTTTAATAAAATATAGAATATTGTTTAAAAAAATTTTCAGAAGGAAGAAGTCAGCTAAAAAACATTCCACTCTCTTATCAAAAGATGATGATTATGGCAGCTGTGGGTCACTTTCTATATCTCTTAGTGATCGAGAAATGTTTGAAACGGCTCGAGAAAAAACATATAAAGTAATTTTTTCATTATATTTTTCTATTAAGATTTGTATTGTAGGAATGTTTCAAATCTCATTCATTCATGATTTATAAGTTTCACTAAATGTTTAAAGTTTTTTACTTATCTTGTCATTTCATTTTATATTTTTTCAGCAATTTAACACCATAAATTTGGAAAAATGTGATTTAGCAACGAAAGGAAAGACTGTGCCTTTTTCTAAAGCCATTCGCATCGATGGGTTTGAAATAGAAACGTGGTTTTCGTCGCCTTATCCTGAGGAATATGCTCAGTTATCAGTTTTTTATCTCTGTGGATTTTGTATGAAGTACATGAAGAGTGAAGAAATCGCAAAAAGACATCGAGTATTTTTTTCACCCTCATTTTAAATAGAAAATGCTTTAAATAGGTCATTTCTATTTTTCTGTTCATTCTAATAAAGATGATCTTAATTAATTTTTATTAATCATTAAATATTGAGGATAAATGTGAACTTTATCATCCACCTGGCGACGAAATATATCGTTGTGGCAACATATCCGTTTTCGAGGTTAAGAATTTTATTTAATAATTAATAAATTTTTAAAACAATTTTTTCGTCTGATAAGTTGCATTTATTAGTATGTCATGGAATTAAACAACAAATTACTTGGTAATAATTTGTAATAATTGTCCAGTGGATGCTGGAAATATGAATGGTCCAATAAACGGTGAAAATATCTTTTCTTGAGCAATAGGCTAATAAAAACAATGAATTCTTTTTACAGCGATTATTATTTTAATTATTTCTTTTAAAGGTTGATGGCAATTTATCTCGAATTTATTGTCAAAATATTTGTTTGATGGCGAAGTTATTTCTTGATCATAAGACTTTATATTATGACGTTGAACCTTTTCTTTTTTATGTTTTAACAAAAAATGATATTAATGGATGTCATTTTGTTGGATATTTTTCTAAAGTATCTTTATCTTATTATGCTATTGTTATTTTATTTCTTTGGTTTATATAGATCTCTAAATATCTTTTTATTTATTGTTTTTTAAAATTTTTCATATTACGTTGAACGAACTACTCACTTGTTCCATTCCTAGAAATTTATTTCTTTTTTACTCTTGCTCTTTGTTAATATTAAAGAATATTAAGAATTTCAGGAGAAATATAGTGCTCAAAAGTTTAATTTATCTTGCATAATGACTCTACCTTGTTATCAAAAACAGGGATATGGCAGATTTCTCATTGATTTCAGTTAGTTTTTACCATGAAAACTAGAAAATTCCAGCAAAACTTTTCGAAATTTGAATTTCTAACTCATTTATTTATTTTTTCTTTATTTTTCTATTAATGTATTTGTTTAGGTTATTTGCTGTCTCGTCGGGAAAATCTAGTTGGTACTCCAGAAAGGCCGCTATCTGAGCTAGGGCGCATATCATACAGAAGCTATTGGAAATCAAGTATATTGGAATTTCTGTATTCTTCTGTTTCACCGAAAAATCTTAAGAAATTAACTATAAGAAGTATGTTTTTTTTAGAGATTTTCTTTTTGATATATATTTAACAGGTCTTTCTTGATTTCAGTAAATATTTGTGCTGTGAGTAATATTTCTCAGAAATTTCAATTATTTGGATCTCTAAATCTCTTCATTTTTTGAAATTTGAATTTGTTTAAGGTATTGCTCGTGCAACGGGTATATCACCACCTGATGTTGCTGAAACTCTTCAGGATCTCCAGTTTATCAGTTCAGTGGATTCTAAGTGAGTTTCAATTAAGATTTTTATTTTATTTAAGATGACTAATTAATGGATTAATTCTTCATCACATAATTGCAATTGAATTGTCTTTTTTTATAGCATTATGTTCATTATTAATTGGTCATTGGTTGAAAACCATTGGGAAATGGTAAAATCGAATAAGACACGTATTTGGCTTGATGAATCAAAGTTGATTGTATGATTTAATTTCTTTTTAGCAAAAATTCGATATTTTATTTATACCTCAATCATTTTTTAAGTTTCAGTCACATTTTGAAATAAATAACTATTTATTATGCCCGAATGGACAAGTAAATTTTGAAGCTTTACATTGCATTGCAGTGGTCTCCTAAAATTTACTCACCGAGCAAGGATTATGGCATAAAATCACCACTTGGGAATCGCCTTAACATATCTCCCAAAAAATCACCCGAATTCCCTGTAAGAACGCCACAGGTGAAACGTCTAAATATTTCTCCTAAGAAATCAGCCAAAAGGTCAGCATTAGGTGACTCTATCAGTTTGTCTTCTCAGAAGTCACAACAGAAATCAGCTACTATGCTTGGTCGAAGAAAATTAAAGCATCGTTCGTTAGATCAGGTATTCCTTCAAAGATTTTTTTAATTTTATAAATATTATCAGTCAAAATAATTTAGGCAAAGAAAACTGAACCAAGGCGTTATTTATTTCCACAGTTAAAAGATTCTCCAAGTGCTTCTAAGAGGAAAGAAATAGCGTTAAATAATGTTACACGAACATCAACATCCGTAAATATGGAGTTCAGTGATCAGGCAAATAATGTTATGGCCTCACATATCTCACAGATTGAAGAAGTTAGGTCTCCCAAAGCTTCTTGTAAAGGTATTTTTGGAGAAATTGGATTAAATTTTTCTTTTTGGTCTTTCGATGAATTGGGAAAAACATTAGATCGGCCAAATTCTTTATTATCAAATTTTTTCATTGGTTTTCTTTTCAGGCGCTTTTCTTAGGAGGAAAAGAACTAGAGGAAAAATCAGCGTTGATGAAAATTCAGAAAATGAATATGGTTTAGATAACCGTGAAAAGCATCGTGGTATCTCTTTATCACTCCTGTTGTTTCTTTTTAGCAAATTTTTTGTGAAAAAAAATTTGCGAATGGATTCGGAGAAAACGAAATAGCTTTAATGTAGCAACATTCATAAATTGGATTAGTTTTTATGAAAATGATTATTATTCATTTAGGTCGGAAGAATCAGACGAAATATCTTAAAAAGATATCTCATAGGAATATATCGAATTCGAGATCAAAAGTTCAGCGCCTTGATGTATCATTTTGTACGAGCGAATATAGCGGAGGGAATTCTTGTATGTAATATTGCATTATCTATTTTTTTAAGTTTTCCCAATTTCAAAGGATATATTAAAGGTTTAAAGATGTTTTCTTTGTTTCTTTTGAGAAATTAATAAATTCTTAAAGATTTATCGATTTTTTCTAAGAAAAACTCTTCTCTTGCTATTTTTTGTCTGACTAGGTTGCCAAGTTTGATCACCTGATGATAGGAGAAGTACAGATGAGCATTACCCGGATTTTTGAAATATAGGCTTATTTCTGTAATATTTATTGGTTTATGAATTACAAAATGAAATCTTTTTTAGTTGATTCCGATTCGTGGGCGAAATTTCAAATCAATAAATCCACCGCAATCAAAAGAAAAAAACTTAGGAAAAAACGAAACATGATTCAAAACAACTCGAAGAGAGACTCGAATAATTCGGTTTCAGTCAAGGTTGAAAATTTATGCAGGATTCATATAGTCATTCATCATCTTAGAAATGTTTCAGAAATTTGGAGTCGGTATTGTCTGTTTATTTTGCAGGATTCCAATAATGCATCGAAAAGGCACGAGCATATCGATTCAGATGTTGCAAGTACATCAAACAGCGTGGAAACAATTGCAGTGCACGATGGCGATTCGGTATTTTTGTTTTTCACCGTTTAATTTTTCATTTCTCATCAAAACTAATTCACCATTTTACTATAAAATTAATTCAAATAGCTTTTTAATTCACCATTTTTATTAGCAGTGTCTTAGCGAGGAAGATCTGGTTACTGATTCTGCTTGTCGCGGAGACCGAAAGAAGTGGACACGCATAGTGAGAAATAATTCCAAAATCAGTGATTCCAGACGTTTGATCAAAAGTCGAAGGTATTTTTATGGAAAATCCTCTGGAAACATCTGCTCCTCTGGAAATATGGAATTAGTCTTGAATTTAAAATATAAAATATAAAATAATTTTGTACAAATTTTGTACAAATTTTCTTAAATTTTTTGGTAGTTAAAGTTTTTTATCATATGCATTTTTATATCCTTTTTTTAATTTGGGATTGGGATAGCTTGTTTTCTTGAATTATTGTATTCTTTTCTATATTTATTTATTTATTCTATATTTATTTAAGTGCTTTTGATTAAAATATTATTTATTTAGGACTCGAAGTTCTTCGAGTAGTGCAATAAAAGATTCTAGCTCTGATTCGGAAATGATGTCTAAACCATTTATGCGAAGGATCAAGAAACGTTCTCTCATTTACAATTCAGCTACTAAAATGCAGTAATTTTTATTCAGTTTTTTTTCTATTTGTAAAACTTTTTTAACATGGTTATTTTGTGGTTATATCGTACTTTTAACTTCCTAGAAATTTTCTCTTTAAATTTTGTCATTTTATAATAAGATTAATTAAATAAGATTCAAATAAAATTTTTTGGGAATATCATAGCAAAATTAAGACTGGAAAAAAATTGTACTAATCAATCTGAAATGTTTTTATCGCAGAAAGTCTAATAGCTCTGTCGAATCATTGGTGCGTAATGAACATTCGGAAATTGGAAACACCAAGAATTTCGAGAATGGTGAATCTTTATGTGAAATATCAAAATCAGTCGATATCAGGTGTAATTCGAACGAATCTTGCGATTCGAAAGGATCATCAAATCATTCTCGGTATTTTCGAGAAGTTTTTTACGTAGATTTATGAAATTGTGGTATTTTTATTTTTTAAATTTATTTTTAAATTCATGCATAAAAATTCTGGTCTTGAATTTTTTGAAAAATTTATCGGTTTTAAATTACTTTAGATCAAAAATGGAAATTGCTTTAAACGTTGAGAGCGACTCACCTCCAACTCTTGAGGCTAGCAACTGTTTTTCGGATAAAAAGCAGTCGGATGATGCATCCAATGATGATTCACCCGATCTTGAGGCCAGTTTTTTTCGTTCTCTATCTATGAACTATATTTAAATATTTAATATTGCTACTATCTAATACCATTTCGGATTTGCTTGACTATTAATATGAAATCTGTTCACTATAAAGTTATTTATGGTATTTTGATATGTGGTACTGATTAGTTCACAAAATTCTCTGGTTTCATTTTTAAAGATCAGTTTTTTTCCGTAAGGAAAGAATCCAGTCTGTGTTCGGTTACTCAGTGTTTCCTGAAATTTTATGCATTTCATTAAAATCCATTTCTTTTCCATTCCACCATACTCTCCATGTGATATGGATATAGCTTCTTTTTTTTTATTAAATTCATTTTGTGTATTTGCTATAACTGATTTTAATTATAAAATTTTAGGCATTTCATTCGCAAAATCCCTCCATTAATTTTCCGAATGAACGAAGTTTAAATGAAATGCCGTTGTTGCCGGTAACAGCTAACGAGAATTACTATTATGGTGAAGATGAGGATGCACCGCCAAGATTGTCGCCTAATTTTGAATCGGTCCCACAGGTTAAATTTATCAAATTTACTTTGATATTTTTATTTTATTTTCATTTCATTGATTGATTATTTCAGGTTGATACTGATGACAGTTGTATTAATGAAATGGCTCCACGTTTAATTGAAAATCCATCTCATTCTGGTTGCAAGTCAGTGGAACTTGCTTCGTATTCCCCACCAAGGATATCAGCCAATGTTACAGCTCGTCCGCTTTCAACTGGTAAAAATAATTGTGAAATGGTTCGTTTTTGAATTTTCATGTATCGTCTTTCACAAATGTTGCATATAAAAGCATCATAAAGCAAAGTTTTTTGCTGCCTTAAAGCTCAAGTCTATTGTGATAATTGGTTATTCCGAATACTTTTACTATGTAACTTTTCAGATATTCTAGGTATACTATTCTGATTTCAGGTGTACTATTCTGATTAATTTGTCATTTTAGGTCAACTTGGGTGGTCATGCTGGAAGTGAAGAAGATTCTAGTGAAGAAGAAAGTGAAGATGTCCGAGGTCATATATACAAGGAGGATAATTCTCGGAAAGCATTACAAGCGGCAAGTTTGGAAGCAGAGACATCTGCTTTAGATCGGCCTCCAAAAGCTCCTGCCATGTTAAATCAACCCAATGATGAACATGAAATTCTTCAGGTGAGTTTTTATTTTGCGAATTTTATTTTATTTTCTTTTATTCTTGAAAGGATATTATTCTTTTAAGAGAATTCTAATACTATTATTTTCCAGGGAGCGCCGATGGAGAACGCTATAACATATTCGAAGAAATCTGAATTGGAAAACTCAAATGAACAAACGAGTTTCCGAATGTAGGAAATTTCTATTATTATACTTCTAATCTTCTAACTGTTCAATGTTTGGTCTTTTATTTTAAGAAAATTTTTCTAAAATTTTTAGGTCATCATACCAATCTTGTATGCAGCAAATCATTGTTACGCAATCACCTGTCTCATCTGCTAATTCAGTGCTTGCAAATGCTCATACGCCACAAACATATATGGCTCCTCCTTCTTGTTCGCTTCAGCAGGTCTTATTCTTGCAGTTTTATACTCTCATATTTTAGGCATCATTTTAATCATTGAATATGAATAGCATTTTGATTGCTAAAATTAAATGAATGATTTTATAAGACATTTCAGCAATCAGTTTCAAGTACACATCAGTGCTTAACGCCGCATACTGTTAGCCCTGGTTCAGGTGTTTTCATGAATTCGGTTGAAAATAAAGTTATCACTTCTAGCCCTGCTACTCCTCATTTAATGGCTGCCCAAACACAGCATCATGGTTACTTTTGGTTTTTTTCTGTCCATTTATCAAAGATAAAATTTTTATTACGAAATGAAAATTCTGCTTTATTTTTTATCGAATGAGCCTAGAATATTGCTCGCATATCGAGTTCATTTTCATGCTTTTTTTTTAGCAAATAGTTCTGAATCTCTATTGTTTGGCAGTCCAGCAGTTGGAGAATCACCAGACGATGCTCGCAGACGCACTCAAAGCTGTAATTCCCTTCCTTCTAATATGATCAGTAGTACCATGCAGCCTACAGGAGTTGTAAATAGTCCTATAGGCTCAACTACAGTTGTAAATAATTCTTTGACTCCTAGCGGACTTCCCAGCAGTGCTTTGCCTTCGGGTAATGTTGTCAGCGGATCTTTGGCAACATCAAGTCTTCCTCGTAATTCAAATTCGAAGTCTAATTCGCCTTCCACATCTTCATTAGCGCAACAAACATCTCAGCGGCGTTCTTCGAAAAAAGATCATGTAAGTTCGCCAGGTGGTTTAATATTAACATAAGAATTTTAGCATTCGATACTTACTATAAATAATTCGTTTTTCAATAATTTTTGATGT